GAGGTGTATGTGAAAGACATCCTCTTTCAGCACCTACCAGCAGCAGCTTCCATTACAGGTGATAGCACTCTGAATATATTCAGGCCAACCTTGGTGTAATAAGGGGAAAGGAGTGGGAATGGACAGGTGTCCTATCTTTAAAATCTGTTTTAAGTTTTTTTGTAGTTTTAAACAGATTGCATTTTACTGTATCAGTTTTGGGACACACATGAAAGCTCTTAGTATGTTTGAAGGTTTTTATGGGCTGGTCTGTCTAAAACTAGTGAGGCTTAACACTTTTGAGGGTAATTATGAGGAGCCTCTCCAGCAGTCCATCATCTGTGTCCTGTCCAGATGAGCAAAAAAGTAATATTTCTGGAGTGGCATTATGCAACAAATCATGTGAAGGACATAATGTGCAAAAATATATGAACAGTGAAATTAATTTCTAATAATTACCCTTGTGTTCTTTCAGTTATGTTGATCCAAATTGCTTTCTGAAAACAATTTCCTGTGACTGCTTAGGCTGTATTTACTTATTACTAATTTGCTTATTACTCATCATTATATTATTAAGTGGGAAGATTCATTTGGAGAAAGAGAGAGCCTGAGAGAGGTTCTCCTAATTTCTTCTAGCTTTCAGAGGCAAGAAGCAATTTTGCATGTTTGAGTGTCATTCATCTGCAGTAAAGGACAGCACTGGGAGAACCAGTTAAGGTCAATGCACCCAACCAACCTGACCTATCGTTGTCACGACAGGGCTTGATGGATCTTTACAAAAAAATGCAGTCATTTCAGTTAGAATTACATCTTGTTCTCATTTCCCATCCATATAGAGGTGAAATAGCTCCCTACTTCATAGTTTTAAACTACTGCTTAAAAAGTTGAAATCTTCTGTTGCATTTGAGTTATGCTCAAACCTGTTGGTTGTTGCTGGTAACACTGATAACTGGTAACTCTGTACCACTGATTCCACTGAATTTAATGAAACTACACCCAAGCAGGCAGAAGAAGTAAGGCTCGAGGTTTTTTATTTCTTGCAGCAAGACACACCAGGTGTTGTACCAGCTCTAAAATTGCTTATTATTTCCAGAAACTATAATAAACTCCCTGAAAAATAAAGCAGAACTGAGTTCACATGGAATCAGAGATGAATGATGCATCCTGGCCAAATCACTCTCTGCAAACTTTGCATTCATGTGATAGCCAAATGAACTTTCATGTGATAATTTGCAGATAAATTCCATCCAAAACCCCAGTATTCAAGCACCTCTAATAATGTGAATTTGATTTTTGCACATTAAAACTGTGATAAAGCCATACTAATTATTTTTAATTATCTCAAGATGAAAATATGTCACTCATGTAAGTACTTATGTAAGCAATTTAAAGCTGATTAATAATAATGACTCTTTCTGCATTGCCTTCAAAGTGCTTATCACTAAATTTAATTTTAAGCAGGATCAAGAAAATAATCACTTGATTCAAAGATTAATTACTAATTTAAATCATAATTCATTTAAAAACAGATCTATTTTTTTGAAGACTCTGCAGTGCATTAATTGACATTTTACAAAATGAGTCATTTTGGCAAGGAGAAGTATTCTTCAAATACTGAATCACAACAACCAGAAGGGCTAAAGGGTTAAAGAGCTCCAAGGGAGCTTTGGCAGCTCAGTGAAAGCAGCTCTATTTAGCAGCAGTTTGGCTTCTCCAAAATGACTGGAAAAGTCACAGTAACTCTGCTCTTCACACCAGCCAGGACACTGCTCTCTGCTTTCACTGCTGCCAGTGGGTGAGAGAGCTGAAGAAAGTGTGTCCTAAAGCAAAAGAAACAGCTTTATTGAGACATGCTGGAACAGGATAGAGAACACTTTAGATCAGTTTAGAAGTGTAAGAATCAGGAGGCTTATTGCTTTTTTTCTAATCCAGTTTGAAATGGATAGAGAGTCTGAGCAATCTGCTCAGGATTTTACCCAGGACTCAGAGCTTTACAACAGTAGCACTGGTTTTGTTGGGTGCTTTCTGTCTAGACCCTCTGTACCTGCTAACCTCCCTTGTTAGGAACTGGAGGAGTAACAACACCCTCCAAAAAGGGGAAAGATTTTTGGATGTAAAATCCTTGGTAAAGAACTACCTTTTTGATATGTAACTTGTAATAATTAAACCAAATGGCTGACTGGTTCTATAGGATATGTTAGGAAAAACTGCGTTAATATATCAGTAATTTTTCTGATAGTAGATTTTAAGCCCCAATGAGATTATTATAACCATCATGTGCAATAAGTGACTAATGTCACTTGTGGATTTTACCACTTTTTTCTACAGCAAATTCAATCGCTCAATTTTGCTCACTCAAATCATATGCTTTGTAAGCTCAAGGGTGATCAGGACTCCACCTAAGGGAGTTTACTGACATTTTATTGACTATATACAGTCAACCTACATTTGTTACACTTACCAATTTCACCTTTCTCACCCTTTAGCTCCTCAGAGAATCCATCTTAATCAGTACTGGAGACAGCTTGTATGCTCTCCTGCTGCACCAGGCACTGCTTCAGCCTTTGCAACTTGCTTTAGCCAAGTTATTTTTTTGCCAAAGCCTGATGGAAGGAAAATTTTTAGCCAATATTTAGCCCTGATCACTTTTTCTCCTTCAGGCTGTATTTATGTTCAGATTGAACTGTCTTTACCTTTCTCATTATTATTTTCTTATAAAGGCATCTGTTTACTTCAACACTTAGCTACTGCATTTTCACTTAATTATCTGGCTTCAGCAGAGAGCCTGAATACTTCTCCATAATAACTGACCATTTGTTTTCTAGTGCAGGCTGAGCTTTCATGATTTATCAAAATGCCTGTGTCATCTTGTGACAAACTCTATGACCGGTCCTTTTATTATTAATTAACAAAAAATAAAGCAAAATATCTTGTTCAATCTTCAACAGCATAAGCTAGTATTTGTGTGGAAAAACGTAATTCCACTCATTTCATCCCCTTCAGTGTTCAAAGTCCTTCGGTGTGTTTTTGTGTGTTTACCAAGATCCTTCACAAGATTAGTGTCTCCCAAAACAGGATCACCCCAGCCTGCCAATATCTGTGCTTCAGTGGTTAATAAAAATATTCAGCAAACTCAGTTATGATACACATACACAAGGAATTCCACTCGCAGCTGCCACCCAACCCCACCCACCTCATCATCAAGCTGCTATAGTTCCCATCTTCTCCATCATGACTGTTTTCCACATTTTCCTCACTTCCACTGTATCAGATGTTCCAAATCTACAGAATATGCATTTGTTCTGTTGTGCCAGGCCTGATTCTTTGCTTTTAGCCCTGGAAATTCTGCAGATCTAATCTCTCTTCGCTTGCAGGTTGGTTTGTGCATTGCCCTCTTCTTTTTCTACTTGAACCTGTTAGTTCCCAGCACTGGTTCAAACCCCACAGTTCTAAAGCATCAAACCAGTTTTTCCTTTTCTACCGTTCAGCTCTACACTGTCAGTTTGAGCTGAAATCAAACCCAACTTTCCCCTTACCATTCAAACTTCCGACTGCTCCCCAAGCCATACAAGTATATTGGTACTTAAAACTGCTCAACAGAATGCAGGGTGAAGGAACTAAAGGGTGTAACAGAAAATAAGATCAACTTTCTTCCCTTATAATATAAACCAACTTTTAATAATAAAAACATCTCTCAGGTTTTCAGTGAGAATAACACATACATTTCAGTGTAAAACAGTGCACAGTGTAAATGCCCTTGGACATCCTTCTCTGCATCTCTTGTGTTGCCAGAGGCTGCAGGCATGAGCCAGGATCCTGCCCAGGTTGTTCTGTGGAGCACAGCTGATGGGGACACAGACAGGACTTGCCCAACAGGTTCTTTTTTACTTTGGGGTGTTCCTGTGGTTTTTATAGTACTAAGTACGTTTGAAATTGAGGATTCAGTGAAGAAACATCAATTTTTTCTTCAAGTAGCAAATGATAAGAGTAACGTTTCCAAAATTAGCAAAAAGTGCATTGAAATAGAGATCTGCTTATCTGGTTGCAGTCCAGAATGGACCCCCAGTACCAAATCTATATCCCAAAGCTGGCAGTCTATGGGCTGTCCTAGTTCCCCCCAGCCTTGCTGTAGATCAGCAGAAACAGTTAAAAGTGAGAAATAAAAAAAAAAAAAGATGAAAAAAAAAGGAATTTCCTTCCCCAAAATTATTCCAGTCTGTGGGAGAAGAAAACAAATATTGAAAAATTAAAAAACAAGATTAAGAACAAACTGCATTCCCACAACTTGTCATAAACAGTTTTGTGTTCAAGAGAAGATTAGAAAAATTAAAGAAACCTTCATGTCCGAATGAAAACATCCAGTTTTAGTTTTTGAGTTGCTTTGGATGTTAATAAAATAAAATTAAGCCCACTAAAAAACAAGCAACACAAATAAAACCCCCAAACCTTTATTTTCTAAAATATACATTACTGCAAAGCGCTCCTGGGTTTCCTGACTGGGAGTTGTTTAAAGGAGGCTGTGGAGGAACAGGAATTGGGAGTTTCTTGTATGCCTGCCACGTTAGGGAGGGTTGGTCATGTTAAGGCACTCACTCCAAAGGAACATGATTTCTGTCCTGAGACTGCTGACATGCTTTCATTAGTTTCAGCCAGTAATTCGGAAAAAAACTACAGCGCTTAGGGCAATACCGACAGAATGAAGAATGATTTTTCAAACAAGAAAAAATAAAGAACATTATATACATTATTCCTTTTTTCTTTTTAACTTAAAAGCATCCCTAATACATCTTAATAACTGTATTAAATTCTACTTAAATATTGAAGGTTTTAAATAATGTAGGTTTTTCAGTCAGCTGGGAGTAGCTGTGTAACTGCCAGTATATTGGTCCCATTTTAAACAATATAATTTTTATTTTAACCTTGTACATGTAATAAGATGATTGAAAACACGTATTATTCCACTCCACATAAATAAGTGTAGTTCTTCTGACCTGTTTTAAAAACTACATCTGTTCAAATAATCAGATTATAAGACTGTATTTTTTCGTTATAATGTTCTCTTAAAAATCTTACACTCCTCTTCACTAGCACTGTATTCCAGAGTACACAATCACAGGGCATTAGTAAAAAGAGTTAATCAAAAACCTGAAAGCTACAGTAAGTGAAATTAAATAATGATAAGAAATATTATGGAATGTATACTCTGCAGCATAGAGAGATTCTCTCACTGGGCCGAAGTGGAAAATTACTCCAGAAGAAATTCTTTATGTTCCTATTTGAATAAACCATAAGTTGTGCTATTCTTTGCTCAAAAGTGCAGGTCATTTCTTGAAAAAGAGGGGTTTATGAAACTACCACTAAAGGATATTGTCCAAAAACCTGCTGGCAGTTAAATGGGTGCCTGGGGCAGTACAGGGAGAGAGGCGTGTCCAGCATGATTTTCCGAACCAAGCTGTATCTTGAAGTCCACGACTTTCTGGTGGTTGCACAAACAAGTCGCCAGGAGAACTGCGCTTTCTTGAAGAATAATGGTCATTTTCCAGGCATCTGGCAAATGGCAGCAGCCATTCCTGCCTGTGGTGCTCGCTTCAAGAATTTCTTCAAGAAGTCAAAGAAATACATGGATCCTGCATGGGCTCCAGGAGTTTGAAGGCAGATTCCTGATGCTTGGGTCAGCAGGTCTCTCTACTCCAGAGCACAGCAGTACCACTGGGGTCAGTCCGTAGGGTCCTCGGCCAGGGCTCCTCAGAGCGGAGTGCTCTTGTGGGGCTGCCAAGAGGTGCCTCTTTCTTCTTATAAATCCCCCTCTGTAGGCGGCTGGCACAACCTATAGAGTCTTTAGTATAGAGAAAAAGTAGGGAATTAAAGATCATAGGGATAATAACAAAGTTGCTGGAATCATGTATGAGGGTCAGCAGCTTCTTTGTTATTCTGCAAGTTTTAGAGGTAATGACATATCAAGAATTCTCCTATTTTTAATCTTAGTAATTGCAACTTTAGAAGTGCCACTAGCCACTTGTTAACTAAAGTATTTACAATCATTGTTTACAATATTATTTGAGACTCTCCATCACTTCTTAATTTTGGCTCAGTTTGGTTCTTCAACAGAGCCTTCTCTCTTTTTCTATTTCTTTTGGTTTTAAAGTCAGTTCAGAATTTTTCCTGAACAGAAAAGTTCTCCCCCCTTATACAGGCTTGGATACCAAACACACAAAAAATAAACATATCTGCTTGTTGTTGTGCTTGAACAAATCTTAAAATTAAGAGTCATCTTTTCTGAGAATTTTTTTGACTCACAAGATTATCAAATTGAGAACAGTGGTTAAACTTAAGCACATGTTGACTTGTCATTCATGTATGACTTTGTGAGCTTTTTCTTGGCTTTTTCTTCTTTATATCAGAATAAACTCAAGTCTTTTATAACTTCTCTTTCAAGACAGCTATTACAGATTTGTGCTAAGAAATATAATCCTGGGAGTTAGTTCACCAGATCTCTTTTTAACTTTGCTCAGTTTTATTTCGCATTATGATGGAACCCAACACATATCTGATCTTTATTGCCCTGAAATAATTAAAGTAAATAGTTCTGGAATTTATCATTGTGATTTAGAGTGTATTCAAAAGAAATAAAAGCCTCATCTTGTGATTTGTTTTTAAAACTGCTTCTTTTTGAAGGTAACATGGTTATGGCCATAACAATGGAGCCAAAGTAATGTATGGCCATTAATAAGGCAAAATAATTACACTGTCAAAACACTGATGGATGGCACCTGGGCCATAGTACAGCAGCCAACACCAGAGCTTTGTTTGTTTTTGAAATATCATTTACAATCCAACAGAAGGATGTGGTTCTAAATGCAACATTCTACTCATTAATGTCTCTGAGAAAATGAACCAAGACTAGAGAAAGTTAGAGGAAGCATCACCACAATCTCTAAAGTTTAAATTAATTTTCTATGAACACTTTGAGAAGTGGATAGGAGAGAAAAAAGAAAAATTAAAAGAGGGGCTAATTTAGACTAACTCAGAAGTCTCAATGGGTGAATAAGCTATCAGTGTTTAAGGAAGTCTTCTTAACACAGAACCAATGTGCTCTTTGGAGGACTCAGGCACTAGCAAACACATTTGTTCTGTCTGAAGATATGGCACAGACTCTGCTGGACCTTTTCTGACATGGATTCTGAACTGTTTTGCCTTCATGTAAACAATGCCATTAACAACAGCAGAATCAGAAGTTTCTCTAGTATTTGTACAGACAGATTCTGCATATATTGTCATCTAAACCATGACAAATCATTACTGCCATTGTGGGAAAATGCTATGTTACAATTTATTAAGGAACATTCTTTTCTCTCTGAGAGGTGAAATTGGAAGAAAATGACCCAAGAGACTTTACTTAAAAATAAAGGTATTATTCTCTTGTAGAGAGAGATGAACATCTCTGTCTCCCATTAGGTGCAGTAGGATTCACAAATGTACAGTTTTTCATAGCTGCCTTCTAGACAAACCCATATACAGCCCTGGGCAACTGAGGTTCCTCTTAGGGCTGCATTACTGTGTGGTTACTCTGACTGGAAGTGCTTGCTCTTAAACCTGCTCTGCTAGAACTAAATCATCAGACTCTTGTAAGCACACTACTGTATTATTTGTGCATATCTGCAATCATATTTGCTGTCCAGGAATTTTTCTTTCTAAACATTCCAGCAATGACTGTCCATCACTAGCTTTGCCAACTCACAGAAACAGTCCAAAACAGATCAGCTATGTTTGATTCAGAAAATACAGAAACCTTTGAATCTGACGATCTGCAAATAATAAGCAGCAAAGCTGATTAATCTACAGTGTGTATTTAGTTTGGTACAGAGAGAAAAAAGAATATTATTTTTTCTCCTTTTTTCCACTATTGCAACTAAGATCATCTTTGCTTATAGCAGGAACTCCACAATTGTTACAGAAACAAAATCAGCACTCAGAGAAAATGTGTAATTCATAATAACCTACCGAGGTGCATGCTGTGGCATTTGGTCCATCACTTTCAGATTCTTGGCAGAGATTTCAACCCTTGGTCCCTGTGAAAAAGAGAATTTATGGTACTGACAGTATTGATAAAGCAAACGATCCTTAGGAAAAAATATTATAATGGAAGTATAATTCCTATTTGAGAATCCATTAACTACTTCAAAAAGATTTTGAATCCATTGGGTGGATACAATTATCATCTATGTTAACTTAAAAGATAAATTAGTCACAAAGCACTTTACAAGCACTGCTGTCTAGCACTAGGTAATTTCTGCTATTTTAACACTGTGATTGAGACTTGGATTTCTTCTGTACAGAAATTGTCTTAAATATACTGCACATTCTTTCTTTTCTAACCTTTAAGGCACACACAATATACACTGAAGCATAGATTTGAATTGTTGTAGGGGGCTGAACATGCAAAAGTTAACAGTGCTGCTGTCACACACAGGTGTAATAATTCAGCCATCAGTAGGAGTTGGGATATGTAGGTTTGCAGTGCACAAAGTACCGTGCCACACCAAAATAAACTGGGTTTTGCATCATTATGTTACTGGACAACAGTGGCACGCAGCAGACACATGCGAACACTTACCTGCTTCCGCATGATGTCTGTAGCTTGCATGATACACTTGGGCAGGAGTCCATGGCTGCGGGCCAGTATGGCTGCTTGCTCCAGGGACACACTCAGTGTACTCCTGAACAAGGGAACATGAGTTAGGAAATCACAGATCATAGCTTAAAAAGTATAAACAGGCATGTGCAGGAGACTTACCTGTTAGGTATTGTTTCTGTTAGCTATTTACTTTTATTTACTTTTGTAGATTTTCTTACATACAAAACTATTAAATTACCTCAGTCTTGTTGCACCTGCATACTGCAATTGTTTGAGTCTCCAGCATCATTACTACAAGGCTGTGTGTCACTGCTGTTCTACATTGATTCATTTTAAAGGAATTCACAAATTACTCTTTACTTTTGAGACACTGGCAGAACAGTGGTGTGTTTCAAAATCAATGTGTGTGCACACCAAGATTCTAAAGCTATTTCTGAGCAACTTCCTAAATTTTCAGTGTGTGACTGAAGACAATGCTGACTACAAGTTCTGTGCAATGAGATCACTTGGACAGTTGCATTGGATAATGCACTGAAACACAAAATCTTTTGTGTCAATACTATTATTAACAAAAGTAAAAGTTAGAATCTTCCCTGAAGTAAAGATGTCAGCAGATTTAGGTCCTTATTACATTCCCTTAAAATTTACCTTATTTTGTTTTGAATAGGATCACATCTCTAGAAAGGACAGAAGCTGCCATCATAGCAGCCATACCCAGGTTTAACCCTCATTCACCTCTGCATCCCAGTGGCACACATGGTGATGTGACAGGCTCCCAGCCGGTAACAGAGCTCAGAGGATATGGGCAGCAGGCCAGCTCCTGAGGAGGCATTGCTGGAACATCCCGACTGCACTGGCTTTGTACTAATGAAAGACTTCAGCAGCCTGCAAAGCTCATCCATTGCATTGATAGGACGAATAAGCTAAACAGAGCAATACAAAAACAATCAGTGGCATAACACCTTCAAGCTATAAAGACATTTACAAGTCTTTATCCTATTGTCTAAGCACAGTATTCTACACCAGAGTAACTGCCACACATTAACAACTATTTAAAATATATATGAATTCTGGAAGTGGCAAAATAAAACTACTTCAGCTTGGAACAATTTTTATCACAAATCACACAGATTGTTTACAATATGAATTACAATTGCACAGATGTTCCCTGCAGTAGCATTACATGCACATATCCACACGTCACCTGCCCAGTTAGACAGACTGCCTATACCTGAGATTCTGGACAGCATTATTTTCTTGTTTTCTCTGCAATGAAGTGTACAAAGTGAACAAAGTGTAACTTGCAAATTGAACATTTGTTTGTTTTCATGCATCTGCCTGAGAGGGAAAAAGAGCTCATTCTGTCTGGTATCAGACACCGTGTTTGACAAGGGCAGGCAGGGTCACATACACTCTTCTTAGTGCTGCAGTGAAGGGGGTTTGTGTCTACCCACATTCTGCACATTTTCTTCTCAACAAAAGAACTGTAGCCAAGTTTCAGAGAAATTCAGATTCCCTCATTAAGGTTGGGAATATTTTAGAATGCTGTTTGGGTATGGATAGATCTACCACACAGGTATGCCACAACTGGAATTTTAGAGATGTTGAAATAATACTTCTATGAGAGAATTTGTTGCAAAAAAACCCACAGAAACAATACCTGGTCAATCTTCACTGCAGTAGCATTGGAATCAGTGGGCAAATTTGATCTCTCTAGGTAAAATGTCCTGCAAAAAGGCCAACAGGTCCTACATTAGTTAGGTTTGCCCCACTTCAAGCACATATATGTATACTATCTTGTATAAAACAGCACAGAAAGCTATGCTAAAAATCTTGCACTTGAAGATCTGCTTCCTTATTGAACCATAGTGACTGCAATAATTTACAGATTCTGTGCTAACATATTCCAAATCCCCATTAAGAAAAATATAATTCTAGCTCTGCACAAAATTCTGAGGTCAAATCTGCATTCCTTCTGAATGGGCTAAACTACTGGAAGAAAATACCAAGCTTCCCACACAATGAGGATCTCTATAAATCCTATTTGTGCAAAAACCGCATCAAGATCAAAACATCTTTTTCATTCAATTTTAAAGCCTTTAACAAGGAGTGCTCTGAAATTTTCAGTGTCTTTTAAGGCAAAGCAGAAGTACAAAATACCTGAGTTTACGGTAGTATTGCTGCACTTTTTCGAGTGAAATACCATTAATTTGCTGTGGGAGTTCTTCTAGAGATGAACCAGCTGGTTGTGATTGCCCCTCTGTACTCTCCAGAGCTGAAGAAGAAAACACTTTACTAAAGCTATGTTTTAATACCAGTGATTTTTAAAAATTACTTATCTCTGTATCATCTCATTTCTCAGTAGATGACTGTTGGATCATGCCAAGGCTGATTCTATTATTCTGTACATGTAATGCATTTCCTAGAATGGGAGTACAGTGGTAGTATCACAAAGGTGAGCTTCACAGAAGGCAGCTCTGTCTGACAGCAGTTACTCCCCACTGCTGGTCCCTTGAAAGAAATTTCCTTTGTTGTATTTTGGTGTGAATATTTACTTACCAAGTTGATTTCTAGCCCAGACGGTTCTGCCACAGTGTTTGCTTTTTAAAACACTTCTCTGTAGCCTGGGCACATCTCCTGATCCTACACTAGATCAAATCATCCATGTAGTCCAGTATAATGTCTCTATGGCTGAGACATAAAAAAAGCCCCAAACCAGCACATCTTGTTCCCATGACTGTGTCTAATTCTAAAGTCTAGCACTCCCTAGGCTTTCCTAAAATAGAAATAACTGCTTCCTAAGTGAGTCTGTAGGTCTCAGCTGCTTTTTTTAAGAGCTTCATGGTCATTATTTTTGATCTTTCAAAATCAGCAGTTAGCTTCTTTTTCTCAAGAAAGCTTTTTATAGACACCTTTTGTAAAGAGAACTGTGTGCAGTTTCAAGGTTCCCCCATTCTGAAACCGAGCAGGCAGTTTGGAGAAGTAGTAGCTGTCAAGATAAAAGATAACCTTCAAGGCCTGACGACTTCCTTCGATGTGGTAGAAGACATGAGTATCTGGAGAAATAAAGATAAAACACTTGCTGCTTTACCACAGCAGGAGAATTGTGAAACCACTGCTATCTGAGTTTGTTAGATTACCTAATGACATATCACATCTCCACCATAAGGTCAATAAGGAAGAGCCTTTATGGAGAGAATGCAGGCTCTGAAACCTTATACTTAAAAGATCATAGTGTGACCTAGTATGATGTTTGATCCAAATCCAGTAAATATGGTTAATAATTAGAATCTCATGTTGTTTCATGGCATTTCATAGCCAGTAGACATGAAGACAGAGATCTGGCAGGGTAAGACACAGGACACTGAAAAACTGGTAATTCACCACAGGGAGCATGGTGCTAATTCTCTGTCATATCTCCTCCCCCCATATGGAATCACACAAATAAGGCACACTGGCATAGGCTACAGCTACACACACACCACCACTCCATCGTGTCAGTCCTGCTTTAGGGGCCCTATGCTTGCAGGGGAAGCTGAGGGAGCACAGTGGTGCTTCAGAGAAGCTGCCCAGTGCTCCCTAGGTGTGACATAGTCTCTCAGATTTACAATCATAGAGGATATTAAACCATAGAACATATGAAAAAAAAAAAGTGCCTCAAAGAAACAGAGAATACTCACTTGCTACAAGACTTTCATCCAGTTGCTTGAAAAAAAAGGCAACTTTGTCTAGTTCAGCCAGAGTGACCTGGATGTCTTCCAGCATGGTGCGCTCCTCCTTCTGTAGGGCAAGGCCACAGAAACAAATAGGTTATTATCTGCCAGCAGATGAGTGACAGGATGGTACTGTTGTTACGGGCATGTTTTGGTTCAAGAAACCTAAAGCAGAGTGCAGAGCTTTCCATTACCTCCATCCCAGCCAGGAAATCACTAACAGCTTTTAAACTGAGTGATACATTAACCACCCTTTGCTTAGATGTCATTTGATGTGATTCACAGAGCAGAGAGGTTCAAGAACTGCGTAAGTTTGAAGGGATCTCCTTCCCCAAACTTTATACATGCAAAGGTGAAGAACAGCTGATCAGTTACTGCAAAATGAATACTGATACATTCTGTGCAATGTAAACAAATAGCAGTTACATGCATAGATAGTTTGGATTTTATTTTTTAAAAAATTTCCATACTCAATCTACAATGGCTACAAAGTAAAGAACCTCCCTTCTCTATAATATCAGAGCTACCTGTCTATTTTATGCCTCTCTTTCCTTAGCATTTTTAGAATTTCAGCAGATCTCCTGTAGCTGTGGCTCATCTGTTCATTAGGTGCAGATGAACTATGCAAACACAGCTCCTTTTCATTGTGCCTCAAGCCCCAGACCCGAGAGAGAGACTTCACTCTGTTTGTCTGAACTCCTGCAATACTCAGAACTTCCTCACCCATTTGGGACATGTGTGTCCTCACCAGGGGATGGCAGGGGACACTCGTGCCACCAACAGCTGGGCACTAAAACCTCTCTAAATACAGCAGCATTGCTTCAGATATGAAGGCTGACTGTTTCCTGGTGTGTTCTAGTGTGACAATGGGTCCAGCATTTGTGAAGAGGTGAATATGACTGGATAAGGAATATGGCACTTGGTTGTCAGCTGTGGAAATCTCCAGTTTGCAGTAGTGAGAGTCTGAATACAATGGTGGAATACAGGGAAGAGGTTCAACCGCTCTGGCTCTGCTGACTGGCACAGAATCACACAGGCAAATGTAAGCAGACCTGAGGATACCACAAGTCTTCGTCTTACCACAGTGGGGGAGAGAAGAGACTGGTAGTTCAGTAAAACTCCAGTGGCTGCTATCTGTTCCAGCCATTTTCTGCTGGCATCTCTGCTGCTCTCTTCGTATTCCCCATTGTTGTTGTACCGATAGTTGAGGGCAGCCAGTAACTGCTCTGAAAAGGTGCAAATAGCAGCTACAACGGACTGACAGAAGATGGAATCACGTCTCAGCTGTAGCTCAGTATCTGCCAGAGAAGGGGAGAGAAGCATAAAAGAAATCATGAATATACTCTTCCTCCTTCTTACTGCCAGCAAAGTAATGTGTCTGTGCATCTGTGTGTGTGTATGTGCGCACACATGACATTTGTCTTCTGCTGTAGCTTTGCACTGACTTCACAAATAACCTCTCCTTGCTGTCTGACCTGGATGGACAGATAGACAGCACAGCTGGAACATGTGCATTTTCCAAAATTTTCTATCCAATTGACTGTTCATTACTCCCTCTGCAATCTGTATGCTCCTTCTGACTGGAAAGAAACTAAAGACTGGAAAGTAACTAACTCCTTAGTTACAGCCGTATCTGGACTGATTCCCTTCTTTTTATGTTTACAGGAGCAAGAGAATTATTGAAAGAAGGTGTCCACTATTACATCTCTCCTGGGCTATTAATCTTCCCCCATCCATCTGTATTTTGTGGGCTTCCCATATGCCTAATGCATTAATTGGGCCCATCCATACGGTACCAATTGCTTTGTTTCTTGGGAGAATTTCCCCTGTGTTAATTTTGCTTCCAGTATGCCTGTCAGGCAGCCACATGCTGGTCAAATCAATCTTGTCATGCTTCAGGTGATTGCAGGCCAGAGAGGCACATGAATAAGTAAAGAGTTACTTCCCAGGCGTCCCCAGCCCCTCCAGCAGGCTGTGCAGCAGCCTCTCATTGGAAAGGCACTGTTCCCTAGGGAAAGAAGCTGAAGACATCAGCCAGAGCCTTTGAAGGTCTGGTTTATTTTTATAAGCACTGAACACAATAGACTGACTACACACTCCAGGCCCTGGGCCATATTCTCAGCTTAAGGGCAACCACCCTTCTTTCCAGTGGGTGTTCATGGAAATGCTGCAGGAGATGGGGCACACATAGAGAGACACTTTGGGAGACATTTTATCTGCTATCCAAACTCAGCCTTTGTGGTCAGTAGACTGGCATGCAGCTGGGTTTGGATAGACTCACAGACCAGCCCTGGCAGGAGCTGAGAGATAAGTTAGAGCCATACAAATCCCTGATCTTCATTCTATGAAGATCTGAGAATCAAGTGTGGCACAGTGAAACACCAGCTTCCAGTTATATCATTTTCAAACCAAAGGACACCAAATAAGTGCTACAATTACAAAAAGACTGTGCCCAGGCTCCTTGTAAAGACCTGTCCTTTGCTCTGAAAGCACAATGTTTGGTGTGTGGTAACAGCCAAGCGTATTTGGGTTCTCCTTGCACATTTAAGGTCTTTGTCTGTTCTTGGCTGTAATTTCAGTATGCCTGCTCTGTTTGGAATGATGACAAGAGTACATGGGCTCAAAAAAGTTGTGCAATAGATCTTGTTTTTACTGCCTGTTCTCACCACAGCAGAAGGAGTAAAGAGAAGAGAGGGCTCTCTTCCATCTGGGAAGGAGGGTTGTACAAAGGAAAAAATGAAGACAGAAAAACCCTGTCTTAGGGACTTCTTGGGTATGTTGCTGTTTTGTAAAAAATTAAACCCCCTTACCTGTGCATTTTAACAAGGCCAAAAGCAGTTGATTCTTCCCATCTAAAACAGTGAAGAAAAGAAATGCTGTAGTCAACGTAATACCAAGGTAGATGTGATTGCAGCTGGTTAACAGTTTCCTCATTCCCCAAAAATCCCTGGCACCTGCATGGCCATATCTATTTACTCTGGTAGCCCTCACTTGCACAAAAATGTTCATGGCTGAAGAAACCTAAGTGTAAAGCAAAGAATTTTACTGGCTACATGCTCTGTTAACTACCAATTACTGGAAACAAATTGCATTTGCAGATGAATCCCTAAGGAGGTGATTCTATGCAGTGCTTCACACTGATCTTTAAACATCAGTCTCATCTCCTGTTTCAGTTCAACCAGACTGTTCAACAACAGTTTAGGGTGTTGTAATATCTGATTAGCCCTGACTTCAATGATTGGAACATACCAAGCATCTCTTCATTTTCTAGAATGGTTTAAAAAGCACAGGGAGACAGATGAGTATGACATCAATCTGAATGGGCTGATGAAATAAAGTAGGGGGAAAAGGTTCTTTGGAGCTGCTGCACAGGTGCAATTTTACCATAAAGCACCAGGACTCTGCAAACCGTAACCTGTTCTACCTGGTCTTCTCTAGAGCCCAGGACAGCCTTATTAAAAAATGAGTTAAAATTATGAAATCAACTGCTAGATTTGATCAAGATCTCTTCTCCTTGAAGCTAGTACGTTTCCTTAGTTACAGACCTTCCACATGTTTCTGTATGATGTCAACAAGGTTCTTGATGCGCAGTGGAAGGTTCCATGGATCTTCCTGAATGCTGGCTTGAATATTATTCCGGCACCTAACTGTAGTTTCTTCCTTCTGCTTAAATTCTAGAAAACACGGAGTGTGTTAGCCATTTAGGAAATGGCACATAGAACTAAGAGTAGCTTAGGAGCTATAATGTGAATACGGATGAAAGCAGAGATGCAGTACCAATAGCAGTAATTAGGAATTCAAAAAGTCCCCACATAGAACTAATAGAGAGGGCAAAAGACTATTCCCATAGTTCCATTATTAGCAGCCTCCCTGCATTGCTTTCAGGATTGTGGTCCGGGTTGACATGCACAGTGCAGGGAGCTTCTAGACACAGAACCCCTCCTTCCTCTGCCTTTAATGACCTGCAGGCAGCTGTACTGGGTAGATCCAAAGAATAAGATCAACTTATGGCTGCAACTGTCACATCCTGTAATACTGATGAGAACTTCTGAAATATCCTGCTTTCTTTCACCTGATGAAAGCTACCTATTTCATATTTCATTTTTAGAATGAAATTCTATAGATTTCATAATATTCATTTCATATATTTCATTTATAGAGTAAAAAATTTATTCTCCATGACTTAGCTATGTAGGTAAGCCAAACACCCCATTGTTGGTGATGAAGTGCATAAGCAGACAGAGAAACAAACAAAAAATTATGCACAGCACCAGAAGAGCATGCCAATGTCCATCCATCACAAAACAGTATCTGTGGTAGCTATTAGACAGACACTGTGGTCCAGGATTCCAGCTGAGTGTAAGCAGGGCTTGTCTGCTCTTCAGTGTGATCAGTTAACTAAAGGACTCTCTCAGGGTAATTAATCTACTTTTAATAAATGAGATTCTGTTTAAGCAAAATAAAATAAATGTCTATTATTTCTTCACTTCATTCCAAGGGTGCATGGAAAGGCTAACATTCTACACAAATGTGAATGTGTTCATAGAGATGTACATATAACAGAACTTCAAGGAGTTATTTCTGGAGTCAAGAAAAAGGAAAGCAGGAAAAGATCTCTAGTTCTAGAGTTTGCCAACATAACTAAAAACCAGAGCCTATGAGAGGTTGGAGCTTTCACCTCCTGCAGCACTTGAGGTACAGCAAGAGTAGTAGGGAACATTTCCGTTTTCAAGTGGGAAAGGAAATGCGGCAAATATTTAGAAAATAAAATCCTGTGTATTTCAGGCAGAAAAGAAACCACATCCTGAGCCCCAAAACCATTAAGACTAAAGAGTAATCATGCTCCCTGAGGAAAAAGAAAACATGGTATCATTTGTTTGCTCTCCACAGGAATCAGTTTTCAAAATAAATGCAAGGATGAGTTTACTCTGGCAATCATCCATCTGAAGAAAAACAGAGTAAGTCATTAAGCAAACTGAGGCAGAACTTTTGGTGCCTTGGATCTCCCCTGGTCAGCCCCTCATCAGCTTATCAGAGCACTCCACCTTGAATCTGACTATCCTTACTTTGTACCTTTTCAAATATGTTAACATCAAAGCGGGGATTTGGGAACTTGTGAAAGAGCTTTGAGAATTGAGCAGCATGTAATAAGAGAGGCTTCTTTGGGTTGCAGAAGGAATTCCAATGAAAATGACCTCTTAGAGGTACAAAATTTCCGTGGTCAGACACAGTACCTGCCTAATGCATGACTGGGTAGACTGTGGCCATATGTGTGGCCATAGCACATATGCTTTCATGTTAAGCTCTTAAGTCTTTGAAATCACATGATTAAATCCAGTCGATCTATTTCTTTACCTTGCAAACTGTGGTCCATGGGAAAGTGCTTGGTTTCCTCAAAGGCCTTACTTATTCCTGGTCCTTTTAGAAGTGCATTGATTGCATCAACCTACAATTGTATTGTTATCGATCAGTGTCAGTAAGACTTGCAGAAGAAAATCTGAACTGAACTCTTGTGGGAAACTGCTGAAGCACTTGCACTATTTGTGTAAGGAACAACTTATTATACAACAATTTTGGAACAACTGACACACAGCAGTGAGACTTTGTAGCAATGAACTGGCCTCAAAAGCCTCTTAACATTTAATAACAGCATTCTGCACAACGATGATCTACATGCTGATGAGGTAAGAGAATAGCAAACAACTCTGGGGTTACACAATATAAACACATCTGCATGCTAAACTTGTGAGAACAAGTTGAAATCAGCTGAAATCTGCAAATGTAATCCATTTATATCAAACAAAATATTAGAAGTTTGTCGTTTTCTTCATGAAAGCTTTTTTTCCCTTAGTCTCAAAGCCTTAGGTAAGGCAAGTCAGCATTGCTTATATCACCAGGCAACTTTAATAACATAGACAAAAGTGATTCATCAAACTGTCCTATAATGTACTTACTTACACTGTAACCCAAAATCTCAAAAGTATGCCTTCCTCAAAATATAATTTCATAACACAATTTAGTATTCCAATTTCTTGATTGACATTAAGAGAAAAAAATTCTGTGTAAAAGTAACACCTTCCATACCTGATTAAAAAGGTGTTCCAGACAGCCATGAAGTTTGTCTTGTTTGTCTAAAGGTATCCTCATATCATTGGGAAGCTCATCTCCTAATACAGGAGAAATTAAAAGCTTTTAACTTACAAACATGATCTGTGATGAGGCATGGGCACACCTTCATCCTGGTGTGAAGTAAATAATGATTGGTGCATTATCTCCAATTCTTAAATCAAAATACTCATTATTTTCATATAATGCAAGAATCCAACAATTAAGGAAACTTATCCCTGCCTAATACCTCTCCCATGCTCCAAATTTACTGTGGTTTATTAGGAAAAGGCAAATCTGTATCTTTATGTTCTTGTGATTAGTTTTGAAGAGACCAGTGCAAATTAAATACGCAAGTGCTTATAAATCAGCAGACTTCTCAGCACTGCTGAAGGAGCGGGCACGAGAAGGATGCCTGTGACCTGTGCACACACTCACCTGACCCCATCTCATCACTGCCCAGGTAAGAGCTGTTGCTCCGCACGCTGGTGTAGGACAACACGGAGTCCCGGTTACTGTTACACTCACTGCAAAGGAGAGCACAGAGGGGACTGAACAAAAGCTGTCTCCACATTCAGGCACCCACACTGCTATTCTGCCTTTATTAGCACTGTCCCCACAAACTTAGTTCTGTGAAAATTAAATGACTGTAAGTAATGACATACAGAACAGTCATTAAGCAAGGACTCCGGAGCAGGACTGCCACAGCATGCCTTCTTCTATTTGCAGTTAATGCTGAATGTGTAATACATCACCCTGCTTCTGGAAATAATGAAAGCAGACATCTCCACTAAACTTTGCTACCAGTTCTCAGAGTATTGCAGCATCCAAATCCAGCATATAGGGAGGCTGCAGTAGCACAGATACTGGAGGTGAGAGAGAAAACTTAGGGAATCTAACCCACTTGAGAATTAGGCACTGCAGATCCTATAGTGAAGCAGAGGAGTTGTGACAGTGATCTCCACACCAGTCTTGGCTCATGCACACCTGGAAAATTCTAGACTGAATCTCCTCTCTTTAAATTCACTTTAACTATTCTTACTGAAAGTAAACAAAAATACTATGGATCTCGGGCTGTCTCCTTCCAGTGAAGTGACAATGACAGTGTTTTGGGTACAAGCTTAAAAAATTCTCTCTCACTGTCTCTGCCTCTGATGTAGTTTTTAACTGGGATGAGAGAAAGAAATAAGAGCAACTGAAAGTACCCTAACTGGGATTCTTGCTGTTCTTTTTCAAATCTAGTATCAAATCTGTTTTTTCCCTCAGGAAGATTAGTATTTATGGCAACTACTCTGCAGTACAAACTCTTATGAACTAAACTCCAAATGATCCCAGAAAAAGAAGCATGGCTATTGCCAAACAAGGTAATTTCTTATCTTCAATTTGCTTGGGTTTGTAGCTGATCAATGCTCTTTTAAATCAAAGACCTTAAAAACACATTCCCCCTTGAGTAACTAATCTGTAATATATGCTTAGTTCTCTGCCTCTGACTAATAAAGAGAGGGCAGAATAATGTTTCTCAAACTTACGTGTAGAATTCTGGAACAAGTGACAAATCCAGAGAGACTGTGCTATCACTTCGCTACCCAGAATAAATTAGCCTCAATTACAGAAATTTGAACTACAGGAATATCCTATTAACATGAAAGAAATACAGCACATTTTACTCAGAAAGCTCCAAAGCACATACCCAGACTGAAATCTCACACAACAGAGATGCTCTAGATCTCAGCACTGCAAGTGCTTGTTCTATTTCTTTATTGGCTTTGTATTTGTTGTCCTTTGAGGCAATCAATATTCAAACAGAAAAGACCCCAAGCAACCAATCTTACTGGCCCTGTCCTGAGCAAGGGACTGGACTGTGCATGCTCAAGAGACCCCTCCCAACACAAACTGTTCCTCTTTGGCCATTCTGCAGTCTTGCACGGGTGGCACCTATTGTTACTGGTTTGAGTGCCCAACAACAGCAAGTACAGCATCAGGACTGCAGCAGGGATGTTACAGAGACAGATAATTCATTCAGGTCCCTGGAATCCTCCCAGCTCTCCAGTCTTGCTAGATATGCAAAAATGGCCAATTAAGGATGTTAAATTGCAGTGATCAGGCATGGCCACAACTTGTTATCCCACTTATTCTGAAGCTGAGATTCCAAATGTTTCCCCCCAGAGAGAACTGGGAGTGATATTCCCTTTGGTAGCAAGTATTCCTGGAGAATCAGCAGTCATGTCCCAAAAAGATTTTGAAGCCTGAATAAACATTTCCATTTGTGGTTTCAAAGGCCCATTAAAAATAAAAATCTCAATGTCCATTTCTGTTTCTCAGTGTCTTAAGACTTTCAGGAAAATTGTCTGGAGAACCGAATGTTAATACCAGCTATTTTTAAGACCAAGCAGTCTGAGAATTCTGCTGGACTTCTATAGTTTCTGGCAACAGCATACAGAAAGTCACACTAGACCTATTTATTTTATTTTATTCAGTTTTCTAGAAGCCTTAGTATTTTAGCATTATTCTGAGGGAAGCATTTTTGCTGTGTATGTCTCTAGGGTAAAAAATGTAATGAATACTTATGTGAAGTGAATACTCTACTAAGTGAATACTAGATAATTGACTGGAAAACAACCAGTTTGTTAAATCCATACTGGGATCAGAACTTTGAAACATTGTATTAGTAAGGTAAAAGTGGCACAATCTTCAGACTCACCTATAGGAGTCTCTGAAACTCATTGTGTCATGTCCAGAGTCTTCCTGGTCCTCATCAGAAACTTTGAAACAGACCTTCTTGACTCCACCATGCTCAGCTTTGTCAGGATCACTGTCTTCTGTTCCCAGGGAAGGCGAGGATGTCTCCTCAGTAGATGGTGCCTCACAGGCACCAGCTTCTGTAGGTTCTGTTATGGTGGACAAAAGTCTGCAGAAGCACAACATAGAGCTCTCAGTCCAACAAATAAACTGTCATGACTAAGGCTAAATGCAGCTATGTGAAATTAGAGCTAACTTTGTGAGCACTTTACATAGATCTGATCTGAACATGCTCTGTTTGAGGCCATCCCCCCCTTGTCCTGTCACTCCAGGCCCTTGTAAAGAGTCTCTCTCCATCTTTCTCGCAGGCTCCCATCAGGTACTGAAGTCCACAAGTAGGTCACCCCAAAGCTTCTTCTCCAGCGTAACAATCCCAGTTCTCTGAGCCTTTTCTCACAGCAGAGCTGCTCTGTCCCTCTGATCATCTCCATGGCCTCCTCCGGATTCTCTCCCACATCCTTCCTGGGCTGGGTATCCCAGAGCTGGAGGCAGCTCTGCAGGTAGAGTCTGTGACCTGCACTGGGTAGGGGGGCAGATTCCCGCCTGGTTTCACCTGCTGCCCACACTGCGGGGAGGAGGCCAGGATGCAGATGGCCCAGGACTGAATGATGCTGTCTGTGCACACTGATAGCTTATGTCCAGCCTCTCATCCACCAGCACTCCCAAATCCTTGGCACATCTGCTTTCAGTCCCTTTATTCCCCAGCCTGTGCTGCCCTAACTAGGTGCAGCACCTTGCACTTGGTCTTGTTAAACCTCAGGAGATTCCCATGAATCCCAGTTCCCAAAAGGTCCTGTTACCACAGGTACCCTACTTCTGTAAGGCATAGCTTAATCACTGTAACCATGGTGGCCTGAAAGTCCTCACTTTCTTCCTCCAAGGCACTGGATTTCTCCTCCTCAGCTCGCTGGCTCTACCCAGCAGCTACCACCCTTCTGTATGCATGTGGGACCCAAGGCTCCATGTGCTTTCCACTCAGGTGAAGTTTTGGTCATAGGCTGCTTTTGGCAGAGATACAGTTAATTCTTTTTCCATTGGCTGGTAGGGGACTGTTGTGGATTTGTGCTGAACACAAGGCTGATAATACAGAGACGTTTGTAAATTTTTAAAAAAATCTTTTTCATTTCTTTTTTCTCTTTCTTGATTCTGCTGCCCTTCTTTTTGTACATTTTTCTCTTCACTCCTGGATTTCTCAGTCTCCTCTGAGCTGAGCTCCTTGGGAATATTCCCTCACAGGGAATCTTGTTTATCACAGTCCTCCAGGTCAGGACAAAAACTCCAAAGCCTGTTAGGATCTTGTTTCTTGTGTTTATTAGGATGTTATCACAAAACTTGGCAGGTCTCTCCAGACTTTTTGCACAAGTTCAATTCACTGCAATCTGACTCATTTCTTTCTAATGGTACAAAATGGCCTTGTGGCTCACTTTGTGGCTCACTTCGGCTTTGAAAGCACAAAATGGCCCTGAACTACACAGTTCTTCTATCTTTATACTCATTCTTATCCAATTAACAATAGACACATGTATTATTTTTCTTAATGACCCAATGACCCATCACCTGTGTGCTGCACTGCGGCATCTTCTATCCAATCACCTACTATTATCCAAAAACCTCTAGAAGAAGAACATGAAGAAGAAAGAAGGAAAAGAAACAACATTCTAAATCCTCCATCTTGCCTTCTGCTTTCTAAACTATTTTTAACTCTTTTTCACCCAGTGACTTAAGAAACTCTCTAATCTACACACTCACACTTTTAGCTATTTCTATCTAACTTTAACAGTTGTTTTCATGTATCACCAAGAAAACATACTCATAAATTTCATATTGTATGAAATTCAGTGTTTTTCTGGATCTCAGAGTATCAGAAACAAGCACACACACACACTCTGTGTCTCAGACTCCAACAATGTTTTTTTTATTGCTGAGCTTACAGAGAACTTTTCTGCCTTTTCTGCCCCTTGTACAGCCACACTGGAGAGGGGGCTGATGTGGGAGACTGTCAGAAGACGCAGCCAGGACAGGTGACCCCAACTGATCCAAGGCAGATTCCAGATTGTGTGACACCACGCTCAGTATATAAAGTGGGCAGAAAAGGAGGAAAGCAGGGATATTTGGAATGATGGTGTTTGTCTTCCCAAGTCACCATTCTGCAGGATGAGGCCCTACTCTCCTGAAGGTGGCTGAACACCTCCCTGCCCATGGGAAGCACTGAATGAATCCCTGGTTTTGCTTTGTTTGTGTGCAGCTTTTGCAACACCTGTATAACTGTCTTTATTTCAATTTTTATTTATTTTCAAATTTCAAGTTTTCTCACTTTTATTCTTCTGACTCCATTCCTGATGCACCTGGCAGGGACTGAGCGAGTGGCTGTGTGGAGCTGAGCTGCCAGCTAGGGTCAAACCATGACAGTGCACGATGGGCTATTCTGTTTCCTGGAAGTGGCTGTCATCAGCTTAGGGCATCGTACAGCCTCCTCCCACACAGCTCATCCCCGCAGCCCCTGCTACCAAAACCTTGACTATTAGCACAAACCACAGACACACTGCTCCATCTTTTGTTACTGTAACTAGGAGACCTGTCATGATAAAGAAAGAAAAACAAAAAGAGGACAAGAAACCACAGGTTCCATAGAGAAACTGGCCTACAATTACAAGTTTTGCTTAGTCTGCCTTATGATAGACAAAATCTCAAGGGCTCTTGGCAAGAAATAGATTCTTATTTTGGAATATATAGTAAGAAAAACAGTGGCTGTCAAATTCAGGTAGACTTTTAGAAACAAAGGACAATAATACAAACACTGGTGGATCTGCCCAGGAGTAGATTTGACAAAACCACCAAGGAGCCATCATCCAAGGGCAGGTCTGATGAGGCAAGTAAAGAGGATGACAGCTGGAGCTGACACCACAATGTGTTTTTGGTGGTTTCTGCCTCAAGTTATGATTTTCTTCCTCCAGTGCATACAGGATTTTGTACTCACTTATTTATCTGAATGACATACTGCTTCATTTCCTTCACTGCAATGTCAAGTTTGTTAAAAAGGTGCAAGTAGGAGTCCTGCATCTCCCAATCTTCCTGTTTCAGCAGAAAACTGAGTCCCCTTTCTTTCCGAATTGTTCCTCCATTCTGCTGGCCAAGGCTACCATCAGGATCTCCATCTTCTGGGGCTGGACATCTCCAGGATGGTGCAGCCATGGTGGTGATGCAATGCTGAGTATATGAGACTGGATTTAAGGTACCTACTAAACATTAAAGGATCCAGTTAGTATGGCTCTCATGACTTTCCCCATTCCATCCCAGTGATGATTGTTTAGGATAAGTGAAGTTTTAACAAGAAAAACTAACATTTCACAAAACAGTTTTATGTAATTACATTCTATGAAAAAATCATTCTGAAAAAAACCCAAAGAAGTTGGGATTTTTTTCCTGGCATGCAACTAGATATTTTGAATTTACTGCAGGTCAGAAACTGGCTAAATTATGGAAGTAAAGTCCTATGTTTACATGTATACTCATACAGACAACATAGAAGCTCTCTAAAAGCATTTGTTGAAAAGTTATTGAATCTGGGTTCTCAGAAGTCAGTCTATGCTATTATTCCAGCTCTACAGACATTTACACTTACACACACACACATACATATAAAGGAATAGGATTCTGTCCTTACAGAAGATAAATTAATTCTTTTTCATTTAGAATTGCTGACAGTTTTGGTGCAGTACTTTGCTAACTGCCTTAGCTCACATTAAAAATACTACTGCCCAAGCAAGCAGGGCTCCTTTATAGACCTCAATTTGAATAGTCAATGCCATCGTTCAGAAGGTTGGTTAGTCTATACTTCCCTCTTCCAAGAATTCCTGCACTCTGACCTTCACAAGGCAATGAATCAGAAGCATGTTCAGTGAGATTATGGTAAAGGAATGTTGGAACTCAAATAACCAGATTGTAGAAATGCTGCATCGCAGCAATTTATCAGAAAATAGATCCCCTGACAGAGTAGAGACTTTCAACTCCAGTGCATGGAATTTATTTAGTAATGAGAGTAGAAAGCAGCAGTACAATGTGATTGACTTCAGCTTTCCCCCTGAATGAAGCACTAGCACTGTCATCAGTCACTTTAGTCAGCAAGTCACCTCTACTAAAGGTAGCGCCCCAGCCACAAAACTACCACGAGATCATGCCCAAACAGTTTAGCTAGCAAAAACACAGTACCTGAAGCCTCTCTATGCTTAAAGCCATTACTTTTTCACAACACAAGAAGGCTTCCATTTAACTATAAAATTTTAAGGAGGAAGAAAGGGTACTGTCAAGACTGTGTTTCCTTGGAACTTATATTTGACCTCGCTGAGCAATGGAAAACCACAACTTTTTATACACATGAAATCAGTATGGAAGTTGAAAGTTAATTATCACCTTGCTCTGGATCAAGACCAATAATGGAAGGTTTCCGTCCAATGCGAATACTGAACGATCTCCCTGCTGAGGTAGAGCTTTTGGGGTATGATACCTCCATGAGATTAATATGGCAGTTGGTGGGGCAGAAATCCATGCTGTTGAGAGAATGTGGTTCCATAACAGCTTGTTTGAAGGCTGGGCTCACCTTCGTTTTCAATTCATCTGCAAACTGGGAGAAATAAAGTAGGTGTGTGTCACTGCACACAAATTTGATGCAATACAGACAATTCTTTTCTCTTCCTGCCTCCTATTCCAGAAATCCAGGAATTCATATTTCTGCTGCAGCTGGAATAACACATTCAAAAAAAGCTCATAAAACAACAAAGGAAAGCAATTAGCTAATTAGATATACCTCCTAGCATCTCTTTTCAGGCAGCTCAGGTAACTGCACAAAAAAAGCACACTAACTTTGTTTCTTTACACCATGATACACTGTAGTTACATTCATGTTAAATAAGACACACATCAATCTATTCTCATATTTATTCATTAATACAGTGGAAATGAACCTGCAACAATATGTTTTAATCCACATCTCCGACAAGCAGAAAGGAGTGATTTACAGACAAGGTATTTTTCACTCAAAACTTGCAATTTCAGTAATTTGCAGAGCTGTTCACGTGCCTCCAAGACACCCACCCTGGAAACAGTTTGGATTCATTAATGAATACTAAGACCCCCTTAATGCAATGAAGTATTGTCTCAAGACTTCACCAATAAGTAGTAGTGCTGTACCTCTTGATAGCTCGTGAGCCTCCTGCTAATGCTCTCCAGCTTAGTGTCACAGATTTGCCGGAATTCATACTGGGGCATGGTGGCCACGGCACTGCTTAGGGATATAAGTCTTTCGCAATTCCTTACGAAATGACTGTCCTCTGTAGCAAAGGCCTCTAAAATCTGAACAAAAAGACAGGATGTCAATGATATGAGTCTTGACAGGGAGGAAAAATACAGTTTTCTTCCATTCAGGGAGTGGCAAAGCCCCATGGTTGAATGTTCTGCCTCCAAAGCAAGCTGTCTTTATTACTGCCTGAGAAATACTAGTGTGTCTAATCCTCAGACTCATATACCATTCCTTAAAACTGTTTAGAATCACAAAAGTGGATCAAAATATCCACTGTCCAAGCTACCTGCTCTAGCATGCTGTTATGGGACGTAACAATAACATTACTGGGATGTGACAAACATTCACTATTAGCTCATTTTTTCAGAGATGACCAAGCCACTCAGCACTCTCTGCTCCTTTCCAATAGCAGCAGTTCTACTCAATTCCTGTAGCAACCCATCCAGCCTCTCAGATAGGAAAAAGCTGCTTGATTTTCTTGCAAGGTAAAGCAAATTCCTGCCTGAATAGATAAATCTTAAAGATCAGCAGAGTGTATGTTACCAGGCAGAAAGATGGAGGGTCCCCTCCATCTGTCTCAACAGCTGAAGTCCTCGAAGCACTTGCTGATTTGCTATATATATATATATATATATATATATATATATATATATATATATATACATATACCAAACAAGCTAAGCTATTGTAACTCAGTGCATTCTAATGAACAAAACTCTAAGCAGGCTGAGAAGACCAATGTCAACCTCAACTGAAGAGCCAAGCCCACAGCAGCCAATAATAAGCGATATTATTAGTTTCTCATCCTGTTTAGGAACAAATCTGACTATGTATGTTTCCGGTACCTTTGCAGTGAGATTGAAGCAACCTTTTGGTTCCACAATTTTCTCCAGGACAAAGGATTTGATTCCTGCACTGCTAACATATTCATACACCACCCCATGCTCCAGGTGGGTGTTATCCACAGTCAGGCTGATGAGAGGAGTTTCTTCACCGATTACCAGTGGAGAAAGAACAGTCTGTGGTGTCTGGGCTGGAATCAAATTAAGTCATTAGAGGTGTCTGGCAGCACATACAGTGCAGTGAATACAGGCCTGCCCAGGCAAGAGAAATCTGCTGAGAAGAAGTATTTAATGCAGAGACACAATCTTTGGCTCAAGGAGCATCTTGAACTGTATGCTGCTGGAGACTGAGAGAATATTCTTAGGAAGACATCTGCTGTTGGCCCTTAATGGAGACAGTGACAGAGTTTTAGATAATACACATACTCCAGTTCCCATTCTGATACTCTTCCATGTATGTGTGCACATATCCATGCTCAGGACACTACCTCTAGTTCTGTTCTCAGATCCTAGCAGAAGCTTATAAGGGAAGGGATGTTAATCTCTAGGTCCTGTTGTCTGGAATAACCCTCCAGAAGACTGAGATGTGAGGGCAGGGATGTGGTAAGGAGGTAACATTTTTTACACAAAACAATTCTGTTGTCACTACAGACCAGATTCAAGTTCCAGTCAGACTGAGATTTGCCAGGTAGTTGCTCACACACTTCTACCAGTTCTACACTGCTCTAGCTGTTGCACTGTGGAACCACTTTGTGTGACAGTGAGATTATCAGCATCTCCAGACCTTACATAGGATCTGCACAGAGGTGCATCTGTTCCTGGAGAAGCTGACAATGGCATTCAGAGAGTCTGGGCTCAATCCTTTGGATTAAATTTTGCTTTAGTAGTCTCCCTTAACATCTACTTTTCCTAATAAGCCCTCAACATGAAAGTGGAACTGCATATTGAGCTATGCTTTCAAAAGTTGTAGGAAATACATCCACATCTTTTCCTGACACAGTGGTAACATGCCTTGAAAACTTGCTCCAGATCGAAGTAATTTAACATCCTAATCTTTAATCAAAAGTAACAGAAAATCCAGATTATTCTAGGAGAAGTGATTTGCAGACCTTCCCTCTCTATCAGCTACTGCCCCTGAATGTGTGGTTTGCAGGGGCTACTAAAGGATTCTAAAAATGCTGAGTCTCCTCATTCCTGTAACTGGCTGTCTTGTAAAGAGCAGAGAGTCACAGGTGCATGGTTTCTATGTGTATCTCAGTTTTTCCTTCCTCTGAATAAACTGCAGCAAAGAAATACTTCCTCTGGCAGACCTCATTCAATCAAAAAGCTTTGCTAAGATAAGAGATATTCTACAATAATAACTATACTTTTTATTTCTACTGTGGTTTTCCCTCTGAAAGCCCCCGAATTGTCCCTAGGTTTTCTTTCCCCATGAGAATCTTTACCTGATTCCTGTTGGCTGCTTTGAAGGGGCTCCAATTCTGCATATCCTTCTAGTGCAGAGTTGTCTTTGCTGGAGCCTGGGTGACTGCCACTCAGACACACAGGGGATGCTGCTTGCCGAACTCTGTCCTCTTCAGCATCTTCATGTGTTCTGTACACCCACTGGTACAACCCCTTTCAAGAGATATAGGCTTCAGCTAGGACCTCAAAATGCCAAATCTCCAAATATTTGGACTACAGAGATGAATCTAGCCATCAATTCTGTATCTTCTAAGTAGGCTGAAATACCAACATTCCCCAGCTTTTCTCTGAACTTCAGAGAACATAAAATTTAGATCAGTAGCTGTGTAAACTTCTATGGTTTGTAATAATTAATAATTTTTAGTATTGTATGCATGAAATGGCTTTCATATTATTTGTAGGTGTTTTGCAACTATGGCAAATGGAATCAGGTCCCCTCAGTGATAGCAGGACCCTGGCATAGAAGGAAATGAGTCAAAGCAAACATGTAGATGTTATTTTTCTGAATATTTAGTGAGCACAAAAGCACAGGAAAAGGGGAGTGCAGAAGAAGGGCAGTAATTAATGTACTTCCTTTGTGCATTCATACCAGTGCTTCCTGCTGCCTGGTCCTATAGGCTGTGAAGTGCTCCAGAACTTCCTTGTAATTTCCATGTGTTGCATTATTCCCATTAACTTTCAGAATACACTGCCCTGGATGAAGACCTACGGCTGCAGCCTCAGAACCTGAGAAATAGTAGGAGAGAAGTTAGACAGAACTGCCATCTGCCCATGGATGAGAATACTGGAAAGATTGCAAAAGCTTTCTGGTTAGAAAAAGTAAGAAGAGCTGGGTCAGTCCTGTCATGCCTTTGCTAACTAAGCCTTTGCTAACTAAGCCTTTGCTACTATTCAGAGAGCTTTGTTGTGTAAGGATAACATTGTGTATCTATTCTTTGTGTTTTCAGCGTTGCTGGGAAAAACCGCAATCTCCTAGATCTAAATGCATTCATGCTAGAAATTGACATTTCTGTGGGAAGTTGTTTGGGATTTTTATAGGGTTCTCTGTTAGCCTTATGGTTACATTAGCTGCAGTCTTGCTTAAGTACAAACTGTTATATTTGTTCCAGCCTCTTGCACCTGGAAGACGGGACACTTGCATGTCACACAATTTGTCACAGAAAAAGATATGATGTCAAATGTAATTTGTCTTTTCCAGGAAAAATCCCAATAAAGGACAATCTTCCTAGTTGCAACTTCCAGCTTGTAATCCAAACTGTGAAAAAGTGGTTCTAGGTGCTGCTATGAAACGGTGCAACAAATGCATGTCCTTAGGCATGCCACGTGTGGGTGCTGCCTAAGCTAACTGCACTCAGCTGAGACACACATTTGTTCTGAAGGAAGTGGTGTATGTCTAAAACGTCATATTTTCTGCATCTGCTTAACATAAAGGTTAAAGCTGTGCTTTACTTGTAGCTCAGTTAATAGTCAGGTACAGATGTAGTAAATATCTCTGTCAAATTGTGTATCCTCCCTTTAAAAAGTTCAAGGAGAGCAGTTTGCCTCTGTCTTATGCTGGTAATTTGTAGCAGTATATGCTGGTGTAAAGGGAGAAGTAGTCTCCAAGTCTTACTTCGTGATGTACAGATTGTGTTGACCTGTCTACCAAGCTGCTGATCCTACAGCACCTTCAGAACCCAGTGACCCAAACTGTGCATGACTACAGGCAAAAATACTGAGCGAGCAACAAACAGCATTACCCCTTAACTTTTTCTCAACCATCTCTGTTTTACGGGTTTTTTTTTCCCTGTGGCTGTTAAGTTTTACCTTAGTAGTCTCAGAAGAAACAAGGGTAAGGTCACTAAGCAAGTCCATTTCTAGCTTGCAAATGCTAAAGTGATAATGTCTTCTAAAGAGTCCATGGTACTGTGCATTTCAGCATTCAAGTTTCTTCCACTGTGGAATTAAATTATTTCTTGTATTCTGTTGATGGGATTAGAGACCAAACACTCAGTTCATAAGAACAACACTGCTTGTCTTAGATTCTATTTAGATGATAAGCAGTTTGAGGCATCACACATTGTTCTATGACTATGTCAGTGTGATTCTCATCTATCACAGGTTCTTGTCATTGTGGTCACTAAATTTGTAAGAACTTGCATAGAACACGCTGGACAATGAAACCTGGAGCTGTCTTTGTTAATATATATACATACACACACTTTATACAGACATGTATATGTCTGCCTATTCAGCTGTACTACCAACTTAACTGTACCACAGTTTGTACTTACCTCTTCCTACTGCGTGAACATATGGTGGTGCTGCTCCCCGGATCTGAAAGCAAAGTGCTTCAGGACAATCTGGGATTTTAATAATCCTGCAGATAAATCAAGGAGAAGAGAAAACATGATTTTAAATTAGGCTGCCAGAGTTCTGGGCAGTTCTTAACAGCATCTTTCCTTGGTATTCACAGCTGGGTTTGGATGAAAGAAAGCATCAGCAGTTTTAACAAATAAATAACAAATAAACAGACTTGCAAAAATATACTCCATCTTCAATGTCCAAGACAGATGGGAGATTCTATTTGCTAATTAAAATTTGGCACTTCATAATTTATTGCATCTTTAAGTGAACAACACTTGACAGTAACTTTCTGAAGCATTTATATTCCCTTCAATTTCTATGCAAACTTCAGTGAAGGTGTGCTGACCTATACCAGCAGAGGATTTTTTTCCCCACTAAAAAATTTTAAAAAACAAAACAGACTGGACAAGACATAGTGGACTAGAATTCAGCAACAAATGTTCACTGAGACATTGAGTCCTATGGCACATTCTATACAGAATCTTATAATACACAAGACACTAACAGGGCCAACTCTCATTAGAAGAAACAGTACAAGACTGAAAAACTGTAAGGGTTATATTTTTATACTCATCCAAAAATAACTCAAGTTTTAATGGGTGGAAATAGTTTTCCCATGCACATAATAGAGTGTGAGAATGTCAATCCTTGTGATTCAGTTTTGTTTGTGCACAAGGAAACCAAAAGTTGTCTGCAGTACAAAGAGAACACAAGCCAACATCTCCTGGCAGCTCAAGGGTCATCACTAAAACAAGCCGTGACTCATGTACCTCTCATTTCTGTCATGTTTTCCTATTGAGTGGCTTCTGCTGTAAACAGCGAAGTGCTTACACAGGTTTCACTACAACTATAGAAGTACTTCTTAGTAACTGACATTTCTCAATAATCTTCACTCTCTGCCCCTCTTGGCACTTACTCTTTTGATTTGGTGGCTACCAGAAGCCTAAGTGGCCTTCGTGAGCAGAAGGACTGGGATAAGATGGTTTCCACCTCAGCAAACGGGCGTAGGAATACTAAATCCTCATTGATGGAATAGATTTTTCTTCCTGCTTGCAGGCCAGCCATCTGCAAAGGGAACAAACACCACAGAGCACCTTAGATCACTGGCAGCAACTCTGAAAGCTCAGGCTTCAAGGTTCAACTGTTCCCTACTTATGGACATTCCTAGGATTACTTCCACATGGAATACTCTATAAGTAGTGTTTGTTCACCAGGTCATTTGTCACTCCCCCTTAAAGTTTTCCGCATTTGTAGAACAAAGAGATTTCACCAGTATCCTTAGAAATACGCAACTCTACAGATGGATCTTAATTCGCAATGGATAAATCTTAGTATTTTTGTGCTACAAATTTTAAAAGGACTTTTAAAGAAGGAGACTATAAAAAAACAAGGGCGGGGGACACAGCTGAAAACTAGGGGCCCATAAGACTGGCTGTGATACCCAGTGAGATGCACACTTCTCACACCTTGGGCACAGGAGCTGTGGACAGTTTTCAGCGATCAGCCTTGCAAAACCAACCTATACCCAGTCACATCAGTAAACATAACCTGGTTTGAAGCGGTGATAAAAACTGTCTCTGCTTTAAGTGAAATACTAGCTCTTCATCAGCCTAAAAAGCCATAAGATTTTGATTTTAATCCCTAGGTTTTGCACCTAACTTTAGTTATTTGGCAATGGCCAGATCCAATGGCAAGACTGAGATGGCCTACTCTGCCCACTGGACAATAGCCTCAAACATACCCCTTGATGATCTCTGCCAGTTAAAATGTAACATAGCAACATTTGGACTAGGTGTTAGGTATCAAGTACTCATTAAAAAGATTATTAAATATTCCAGATTAGAATTCATATAACTTCAAGGTTCAGCAGTTGGGTTTCCTTCTAAATGTGGCAAACCCTTTTCTATTCTGCCTAGAACCTACTGACAAGTTTCTTGACTTGAAAAACGGAGGTCCACACAGCACTACTCTCACATACACTCTGTCTCAGGGAGATGCAGATTTAGTTCTTTGCTGGACAAGTATTATTAGAGCAAGTTCAAAAGATGGTCTCATAGTCCAAATTATCTTGAAAGATCAAGAAAAAATTTTTTAGAAAATGGTGTGCTGCCATTGTCCTCAGACACAACAGATTTTCAGGTTATTTCCCAAGCTTCCACCCAAAAAAAGGGCAGAGGATTATCTGGCAAGCAGTGGTTCACAGCACAGGTTTAGAAAAATAGCATTTTTGCGCAACTTATGTTGATTTTGAGCACTAGATAAAGCATAGGATTGATTTCTTTGGTGACCAAAAATCAAATGAGAATCAGGAATACTGAAATAATTTCATTCTAACACTAAACTTCAGTTCAAAATTCCTTCCCGTGTGATATTCTCAACTTGCTAAAACCAGTCTGTCCACTTCAGCTATTTCCATTAAGCAACTTACCCAGGAGTTATTTGTAGTCCAAAGGAGTAACCCACAAATTTAAATGTGGACATGCAAAAATTCTGTAACAGTTGTCCAGGACTTTTAATTAGAACCTCTGTCCTGTGTGTCACCACAATTTACTGTGTAACCCTTGACAAGTCATTTAGTCCTCTCTTATCTTCATCAGTTTATCTGTGCCTTATTTTGTTAAATGGAAGATCACACTGTGTTACCCACATAAGGATTCTGTAGGGCTAAATGGGTGATTAAGAAATGCTCAGATCCTATGACATTTGGACCATCTATGTGCTTCCAAGAAACAAAGCAAATACATTCTGTAGAACTCCTAAAAAATACCATGGAAAGAAATGACTGTGTGCTTTTTAAGGGGAAAATACAAATCTAAAAATACAGCTTTCACACAAATAAACATGTTTCCTATGTTTGCTATCCCAAAAATGTTACTTTCCCTTCATCCTTCAAGTTGCTAAGGAACCTGAGGTAAGCTATCATCACACAGATACTGCTCTCGTCCTATCACTTACCTACCATATTTAAAGTCCCCCAGTAATGTCGAAACACTTATCAATTTACAGAAATAGCTTATTATCAGGAATTGTAGAAGACAGCCATCTTCTATTAGCTGCCTTTAAAGGAAACAGATTTTAAAAGGATGGTTTGTAACTTTTCTAAGTACTGAAACATTCTTAGATACCAAAATGTGAATGCAAGGTCCTACCTCGGCAGAAGACTCTCGTCTAACTGACTTCACCACAATTGCTTTGTTCTTTTCTTCTATGTCAAATCCATAGTCATCTTCTTCTGGTAAAATCTTAAACAGAGCACAATATTTACACATATTTATGCTTCATAAATATGGAATTCACAGAAAAGGTGAAAACTGGAGATGAGAAATTAGACTTTTCATTGCAAGCCACAACTGATCTGGACCTCTGTCTAAAGATGGAAAAGGACTACCAGATCATTTGGTCTGATCGCCTACACAACATGAGCCATAACATTTAATCTTAGTTATTTCTGCATCGAGTCCTTAATATATACTAAAGCAGATTTTCCGAAGTTACTCAGGTATGATCTGCAGTCTTTAAGAAGTGAAGGATATATTCCCACCCTTGAGAGTTTGTTCCAATGGTTAATCAACTCTTCTTTTGGAAATTACATTTGGTTTTAACTCCTAGCCCTTCATCCTTCAATAGATCTTTCACGTTTAGATTATGGAATTCATCATTATTCAGTCATTTCCATTGGTGAACGTACTACAGATTGAGTGTAGTCATTTGTTTTTTTTTTGGAATACATCCCACCTACCTGATAATGAATCACCTGAGTACTTCTCAGTTTCAGACAAATTGCAGATCTTAGGCCTACCTGTTACAAATCTAACTACACATACATAATTCTACAGCATAATGGCAGTTGATGGCAAAAATTCTATCTGACCAATGAGAGAACAATTCCTGACATCCATAAGCCCTTCCTCTAGAGACAGGCACATAGGCTTTGTGTAAGGGGAAGAACACCAGCTCCAAACCCTGTGCTCAGTTTGTATCTTATGTGGTAGACAGAAGCCTTCAAAATTCTTGGTCCTGAATTTCTGCTTCCTCTTGTTTGCACTGAGGTCACACAGACCTGCCTTACACATATTCTTTAAAATCATTTCAATCATGACAAATACACATTTCACTCATCCTTTTCTAGCGGTTTATTAACAATGATTGAAAAGCTTAACAACTCACTTCCCATTACAGAAAATTAAATCAAGCCTAGCAACTGGTAGAAGGACAAATGGAAAGTCTAACTGATAAACATCTTGCATTTGAGTAAACATTGTGTATTTAAGAACCATCAGATAAACCAGAACTGATTTAAGAGGAAAAAATAAAGCTACTCATAATCTAGCACGTCATGGGGGAAAACAAATTACTCAGAATTGTTTCCTTGCTTCTGATGATTTTTGCACTATTTTAAAATACTGTCCTTTTTCCTTTAAAGTCAATTCCATCAGATTATAAATGTTGTCCTTTTACAGGAAATCACCTTGGGGAAAAAAAATCAAGAACTAGAGTAATTCTGTCCTGCAGGAGCCATACAGTCAAGTTAAGGTATGGCAAAAGATCTGGGGAAAAGTCCTTATTCAGGTGATGTTCAGATTAGAGGATGCATAGGAAAGTAAAAAGACTGAAAGGTAAGTTTTACGTATTTGGCTATTTTAAAGTATTTTCAGAAACAATGTTAGTAATGCTTGTCCAACAAAGGACTTTAGAAAATTAGGTAAATTGCTGGTTAGATTTTTAATTCTGCAAGTGGAATGAGCTTCAGCCCAACACAACACGTACTTTTATCACTTCATATTTGGGATTCAATGGAAAATGTCTAGGCTACCTCTCCTCTCCAATTTGCACTTTACATTTGAAGGGACTATTCAAATTCTACTGTTGAATTTTGAAAGCATTTTGTGAAATAGACATTTAAAAACCTGGAGGCTTTGATTTGCCCAACTTCAGCTGCCAGCAGCTATCTCTTGGGGTGCAGCCACCATTTCTGTGCATGAAGGTCTTTTACTTGCTATTATTTTTAATAGCCTACCTTGGTCTGATCATTGGTACAGCAAACATGAATTGTTTGAAAGCAAAGAACTAAAACATTTTAAAGAAAACTGACATGCATCAACATTAAGAACTTCCTGTGCTGGAGACACCCCTTATGAAAAGGCAGACTATACTAAAATATTCCATTTGCAATACCTGGAGAAGGCAATGATTCATTCTTTATTATGAAATAGGAACACCCTGCCATTCCACAGCTGAACCCCATTCATCCTTGGGGAGTCCAAAGCTATTAACTAAATTGCCACCTGCAAGAACTATTTCTACACCCCTGAAGCCCAATCACTTTTTGGAATGTAAGGCAGCAGCTGTTTAGTCTTGAGAGACAATCACATTAACAAATGAGACCATTTTAAAAACAAGCATGTTTAATCAAAAACAGAGGGCAAATGTACTCAGAACACATGCAAAGAAAATTTTGGCAGGGGCAAGGGAAATGTGATCTGCAGAGATGAAAAGGTGTGCCAAGAATGGCCTATTACACCCCTCTCACACAGCAGCAGGACCTCTCATCCTGTCCAGTGGGGATACTGACACTGGAAGAGGCAGCACAGCAGATCAACCACCATTGCCTGAACCTGGGTCCAGGATGCACATTCTCCTCTCACATACTTCCCTACACCCTCCAGCAAAACCCTTCTCTGCTGGACACACCTGAACAGCCTGACTTGGGTAATAATCTCCTCAGAAGCAGTGACTCATCAGACAATGTCAGATCTGAGCATTTCAGAAAATTGAGGAGGTTTCTTTGCCTAACTAAAAAGTCAGAGCTATAGAAGTTGGAGATACACAACAAAGCAGATCAAGAATTAGTAGCATTTATGCAGTGAAGAAAAAACCTAGCTACACGTGCAATTGCCCATTTTAATTCTACTCCCCCATTATTCTCCTCTACTATAAAACAATATCATTTGAGCAGAAATATCAAGGTTTACATTAACATGTTTCTTACCAGAAGATTCTTTCCCAGGATGTTTTCCACGAGCTTGAAGTCATTACGCAATTGTTTGCTCTTGGAACTGGTGCCTTCCATCTCCTCATCAGCATAAAAGCGGAAATATAAGGATTCATCCTTAAACTCACTTTTCTCCAATACTGGAAATGATATATATGAAATACATACATGCATTTATATCGAGATTAAAAGAGAGAAACAGAGAAGAAAGCTAAAGAAAATCCTAAATATTTTCCCAACCTTTACAGAACACACACCAGATGCATCTCTATCAGTCAGTTCCTCAGGTCTGTTTCTTCAAGCTAATTCTGTATTTTAGGACAATAATTTTCTTCACAGTGCATAGTAGCTCATGATATGATGTGAAATCCCTGGCATGCAGAATTCATATAAAATGCAAAAGATCCTCTTGGAAAGAAGATGCTACCCAAAACCTTACCCTCTCTTCCTACATCCAAATGAAAATGGTAAAACATAAAAGGAGCAAAGAGGGGTAAAGGCGATATTTAAAAGCACGTTAGGTGTCCACACAGACTAAGGGTGAACCTTAAAAAAAAAAAAGAGAAGGAAAAAAGATCTACAAAATTCCCAAAGGCATGAAAAAATTCTTAACCAGTTTTTCAAATATGACACCTGGGGGCTTCAAATAAAAGCAGCAAGTGATGAGCAACTCCTACAATCAATATCTACTTATGATAAGGTCTTCCTTGGCAAAGGATGCAATAAATGCCAGAAATTTGCATGGGCTCAGAACAGACCAAATTCTTTAAAAATTACCCCAACTATTCTTACATTATTATTAACTACTATGCAAGTTCTCCATTAGTTATTTACAATAATCTGATCTCAGAAATGCTATTCAAAATACAGTGAGTAAATGTTATCTATGACTAAAACGGCCTGTTTCATTTGACAAACTATGTCTGCTCTTAGGACTTGCATATTCTATTTCATACTGATACAGATGTGATTTGTTTACTTCCCCTGTTTAAGGAAAGATGATGTCTAACTTTGAATTCAGCACTTCAGATTTGGATGCCTCAGCACTGAGGACTGTGTTTGCTATCCAAGAAGCAAGAACTAGGCAATTTTACTTAAGAACTGATGTTTTTGTGTTTCAGGCCAGTACTTGGCTTGTGCATTGCTCAGATGGCTCTGGAAGAGATGCAGTGAAAAACCTGCTCCTTCTAGCTTGCCTGATCCCTTCAGTGCTTGCCATAGCTATCAGCAAGGGGCTTCCCTCGGGAAGGCACCAGGCTCAGCCATGTATTAGCTCCAGGACTGTGTTCTGTGTTTGAAGGACCTGCAGAGATGCCTGCAAACCATGTACTCAGCATGTATGGCACAGCCTAGAAAAGCTAATCTGACTGACGTAAGAGCTCATTTCACTGGCTGGGGGAAGCAAAATTGATGCATTACCATGATGCATGAAGCCATTATTGCAGAGTCCCACACCCAGTGCGACAGCTTCCTCCCGAGTCTGACAGTCTCCCTAGGAACAGGAGAATAATGTTATACCTCAGATGATTTTCTAAGCGAAATTATTCCCCATTCCCCACTGCATAACTTGTGGCTCTGAAATGAACAGGATGATCTGTGCAGAGAACAACAGCAAGCCATTAAAACAGGTATCTCATTAACCACTGTTTGCTCCCCCAGACAGCATCTCTCCCTCCTACAGGAACCAGGGGAACAAGGACCAGCAATGGGGAAAGATGCCATATTATCTCAGTGCAAATATTTTTTACTTGAAATCAGAGTGCTGGACTTCAGGACTCATTACTCACAGACAACAAAACTCCTTCTTTGACACTGAGAGATCCCATCCATATTCAGCTCAAGGGAGAAAAAGCTAAGTATGTGAACTCCAAGGGTCAGACAGGTTAAAACTACAGTGGCAGTTTGCTTAGACAGCAGATTACAAAGGCTTCAGTTTCTCTCTATCTGAAGTGCAGTCGTTCAAAACAGGTACCAAAGGTGACTTGCAAATTTACAGACTTCCCTGAAATAGCAGCCTTCACCTTTACATCTACAACTCAGTTAAATACAAGAAATGCCTAGTTTTCTCGATGTATTTGCTAATTTGCAGCCCCAAGTGAATACTTTACAAGCATGGCTGTAATTTTTAGGCAAACAAGTAAGCTTTAAATAGTGCTGGTAAAAATCAGAAAGCACTACTGGTCTTACAGAGATTGTTAACACTGGTCCCTTGATGTGAGATGAGCAAAGGAGAATCTGGTGTCTGCTGTCTCAGTGACAGCAACTGCTCAGCTCATTCCAGCAGGGAGGGCACCTGCTGCTTTAGCAATAGAAGCAATTTCAGTCTGTTACTTTCAGTCCTATTTAGCGAGAAGTTGTATCCTACACAAGTATTACACCTTTTCTCCCCTCCATCTGAAGAACTAGATACCCAAAAGCTCTCACAGCAGCTATAGGGAAGTGTACTGACTTTGTTTTAAGCAACCAAGCACCCTCTGATTTTGTCAGCAGAACATCAGTCCAACTTCAAATCCTGCTAAGGTGAGCAGTAGTTATTTGCCAAGCAAATGCTGGCAAGGCCCATCACTACGGTGTATCAACATTATTTAAATACAGGATAAAACAGGATTAGCTCTGGCCAATCCACAGCACTACTAGCTTTTATTAAAGAGGCTAAGAGCAGAAAATGCACATTTACAAATTCAGAACTAAATACTGTTGTCTTGGTAGAAAAGGGATCAAGGCAGTTCTGAAAGAATTGTGTGACTATGTAATCACACAAGGAAAGCCAGGAAAATAGCTTTAAAAAACTGGAAGTTTAACTTCTACTATAAACTGATTTCAAATCTTCTCAAGTCTTCTCTCATTTTTAACATACTGTCATGAGACAATGCTCAATGCTCACAATGTGTTATTTTATGGGATAAATGGGTAGTTTACTTTATAGAGACTGGGATTTAAAAATCCAATTTATTCTTTCAACTATAAATAAACTGGAGGAGAAAAGCCTTCTAATGTTACCATCTTAAACCTTTAGCAGTATTTGTTTGTTCAAGGCAACAAAATCTTTGCATAGGAAGTCTAAACCAGACTTGGGTACTCCTGATGATGTTACCTTGGCCTCAAAACATTCCCCTAGAAAAACAGCATTCTGTGATTAGAAAATACAGCTTTAATTCTTTCAGCTCACTTAGTACTTCTAAATGTTATGTAGGTGTTTGTCCAAATACAATAAAGGCAGTAACAAAAATCTTCAGAAAACAGAGCCATTTACAACCATCAATCTTGACAAAATGTGTCAACCTTTTCATACAGAAACTAGATGTGAAACTAGATACACTAGTTTTGACGTGGTAACTTAGGTTTATTCCATACCATCTCTCCATTTTGAGTCATCAGAATTACAGAAACAGTTTACAGTCAGTACCACAGTGAAGAAGCATGTCCAGAGCACATTACTATTACTCTTATTATTACTACCACCATTACAATTATTATTATTATTATTGCTGTCTGGTTTTGGTAATGATGTGATGTCTAAAGCCCTAATCATGGTGGCTGGTTGCTTTGGGATGTGTAAACCCAGCAATTAAGATGGTCTCAGACCAAAACTGTTTACAGCTCCCTTGGAGGAGGAAAGAAAGCAGATGCACACAGGTAAGAACAGCAACTAAACCACTCTTCAATTTTCCACTGGTACATTGAAAAAGGAAAGTTTTAGGATTATGAAGTGCTTCTCAGCAAAGAGAGAATCTTAAACTTTTCTTACCTGTGCAATAAGCCAGTCCACTAGTTTACTTGCAGGGATTACTGATTTGTACGTCTTTAGGTGGTGGTCACGATCTCTAATTAAGAAAGATAATTCAGGGAATTCAGAACAGAAATACATGTATTTCTTTTATACTCTAAATCTACATATACTACTGTGACACCTACTACTAATAAGAAGCCATCTTTTCTCTCTGGAAAGTTTTAAACTTTTCTAGCAACTTGAATTAGGAAAATACTTCAGATCAACACAAAGCAGTGTTATTTAAAATTTCTCTAGATGTTGTTTTGAGCCATCTTCACGGAGCTCACATTCCTGCCAGAGGCAACCAGAAGATTCATTTCACAGACATCCTATGCTGCTGCTGTAACTCAGGTTAGAATACTGCCACCAGCAGTTCCACTAAAAATCACACTCTTCTGGCTGGAAACCATCCAAAATCCATTCATGTCCAGCTTACATCTTTTGGCTCAGAACCAGTCCCATCTATAAGCTCCAATAATTCTTCTCTAGTATTTACCTATTAATGTACTCATAGGGGACTCTACACATTGTGTAGACTCTACACTCTGTGCTTCCTTTTTGTGAGGCTCATGGAATTACGCAGCTTTTAGTCTATTGTGTCAAGAGAGATTTTCCACACTAGTTCAGATTTTACTTCCTTTAGAAAAATATCACATAGTAGCCAGACACAAATAGAATACACAGTATCCTTTTATGGAATTAGATAATTTCAGCCACTAAATAGGAAGGGATGTGTTTAGTTCTTGTAACACAACTGGCACCAGCTCACACCCAGGCCTTGCAGAGATCAGCACTGTTCCTGCAAGAAGGAAAAGGAACCTTATAGTAACTTGACACTTTTTGCAGTTTTCTTCCATTTCTCTTCTCAAAGCCATGGAGATAGTTGATGGTTTTAGCCTTTAGTGAAATATTTCTAAAGAATTTTGATATAAATATGAGAGGACTATGTGGCTCAGGACATTGAGCTCTAACACCTTTCACCTTCAAAGTCACTGGATTTAATGCAGTTTGGAAGAGCATAAAAGCCATTTTAAGGCTGTTTATTGGCCCATGTGAAATAAGTTTCATGGTGTTGATCCAGTTCCTAGTTCCACATCACAAAAGCCATTACCACAGTTAATTTGCATTAATTTGCTCCTTCTCATTGAGAGTCCCAGTAGAGAGGCCAAATGCTGAATGGGCTATGAAGAATTAATTCCTCTCTCACACTTGGGGGTGGTCCTTGCCTTTGAAGCTTGAGCTTCACTGGCATGACTGCAGAAGGAAGCACAGCCTCTGGGGCTGTTTTACAGTCTGGATGGATCCATGAGGCAGGTCAAGGCAAAACTTTATTTTTCAGTTCTGTCAAATCAGCCTCTTTCATTAGCACCACACTGTCTGATACTGCCTTTGTCCCTAAAAATCTAATATCCAAATACCATCTAAAACCCATCCTACACAACCTTGTTCCTTTTACTAATCATCCACAGATACAAATATATTTTGACTGGCTGTTGTAAATAAATGCAGCAGAAATGTCTCTGTGTTTGTAGAATGCAGGGTATGAGAAATCAGAAAGAAAAGTGGGACTTTCAGAGCTTGGAAAAAAAAACAACAAAACATGACAGCATTTCCAGAAATATGTGTCCTCACAAAAAAAGCCTTCCTCATAGTGCTTACACATAGTTTTCAACTTGTCTTCCAGTAATATGCTAAACCCAGCAAAAATCTGTAGGAGTTTTCTGGGCACTTTTTCTTTCTCACACACTTTTCTTGGGAAGGTGTGCTTTTGAAATGTCAGCACAATAAAGGAAAACATTAAAATATTGAACACTAATGAGCAGGGGGTTCCAGATGAGAATTCCCAAAACTTTCCTAGAGATGCTGACACTTTTGAATAAGTTGCCATCAATCCTGGTCCAAGGCCCAGTCTTTCCCTGCTTGCAGGTCAGTGCTGGTCAGGATCCATGTTAGTTTAACTCTCTTTTTTCCCCACTTCAACCTGCTCTGAACAGGAGCAGAACATGAAACACAGAATGTTATCCAGAACCATGAATTTCAGGTGAATAGTCTAATATAGGGGTGGGAACCACTGAAATTTTGGCAGAACCTTGCTACCTCACAGAAACTGTAAGAATAGAATATTCTTCATAGGGCCTAGCCCAGTGATGCACTGACACATTGTCCACCACATACCTAAGTGGGAACAAGTTGTCTCACCTCACAACTTCCCAGAGGTACATCAGAGACACATTCATAATTTTCAAAATGTTTTACATTTTATACTTCAATCCCCAAAGTAGCATGATTTGTTTCCAGTGTTGTATATCATCTTGCTGTCAAAGTACTAGCATGTCAGTTTTCACTTGAGGAAAAATACAAAGGCAAAGACTACTAGAAACTCCAAGGTTTCCAGGGAATAAAACTAAGTAGAATTGTATCCCAAGGTTGTCAACAAAACCATTTTGCATAAGTAATTCCTCCAGATCCTTGTGGCACATGTACCTGCTACGCCAAGCAGCTTTGCCAATTTTCTAGAAGGAAGATTGTAACTGAAAAGACAGCATGAGTGAAGGGATCAGCAGTCCTAAGATGCCAGATAAAGCAGTGATCCAAAGACACAGCACAAAGCAATGGGCTTTTGCACAATAAACTTAGCAAAACCTAGCGTCCTTAGGCTAAGGTAAGGCTTGGCAGAGGCAGAAAGTCATGATAAGAAGACATAAAACAATGACAGCCTGAGAGATTAAGTTTTCTAACATGGCTATCAAAGGAAGAATGAGTAAGAAAGAAAATGGCAGGAAGAAGAGCCTAAACATACTGAGAATTAAGTCCATTCAGAAGGATTCTAAAACTTCTGAGAGTTTGGTACCTTTCATTGATTATACAGAGCTTGTGTTGATGATGTCACTAGCACAGATCAATCCTGATATGAGAAGATTCTCCAGCTGGGAAGCTATTACAAAAATAGCACATTGACAAAACACCACACCACAAGATGGGCCTGTGGGAGTTATTTTGTCCTTGCTGATTTGCTTAATTATTATAAAAGCATTCGATCAATTATTATAAAGCATTAGAGTAGATCCACTTCCGTTTGTGGGTACCATGAGGTCAGGCACATTTTTTGAACTTCATGTCCCATCATTTCTACTCTGCATATGAATTACCATCTTCAGGGGTGAAATGTCTATGTGCAAATACACACACATCTACAGAACCATTTTGTCTGTCACTGGCAGCATCATGCTTTCCTGCTCTCTCCACACCTTTTGGGCTAAGTGAAATCTGCCACTGTGGAACAGTTATTCTGGGAGAAAAGCCCAGAGTTCTAATGATGCAAATTTATGATTTATGAACTGTAACTGTCATTGCAGCTCCTTTTAGCATGACAGTGGCATCTCTCAGTGAAAATTCAGTTGTACAACTCATGGATAAGAGGTCAGTTTTGTTGAATTCATGAATCCAGCCATCTCCACTAGAGGTTTTTCTTCCTCATCAGTTTTTTATTTGTAAAAAAATAAGTTCTCCTAAGTGAAAATGCCTAATCTTCCATTATAAATACCTAATCAGAACAACTACAGAGTTCAAGGTGGTTTCCATTATAGCCCAGAAATGTTCATCTGATGCCACAGTAAGGTAATAATATCTGAAAATCATTTCCTGGGCTCTGGGAAGAGAGTAACCTAGTATTTGCAGACTATCTCAATTCTTCAGTACTTATTTATACAGAGCAAAGTTCTTAAGATTCCACACAAAACTTCCAGGGTTTCTTCAAATGACAGCTCCAGCTTTTATTCTGCTTCAGACTGGCTTTTGTTTGTTTAGGATGCTCTGAATGACAGAATCCTAGCACCACACTGGAATATCTGTTTACATCACTTCGGCATCTATTGACATTTTCTATAACCCAAATAATACAGCAACTACAATCCCCACCACATGATCTGCCCCGAATCAGTCACTGTAACCATACCCAGCTGCTCACTCCCCGTGAATCCCCAGTGCCAATATCCTCCAGCAGCAGCACTGCAACTACAGATCTAAGCTGTGGAGATGCAAGGGCATTAAGAGAGCCAAGAAAATTTAGAAAATTATTGTTTATAATAAGAAACAAGATTTCAATAGTAACGTCATCCTTTTAACAAAGACAGATAATAAACACAAGGTGATCACAAAGAGGAACTTACTTTACCACGGGAGTATACAAGCAGTGCAGTCGGCAGTACAGCCTCACCCCCTGAAGAACAGAAGATGCAGAGTGTTAGCAGCTTCTTCCTTTCCAAAGAAACACTGACTAGCTAATGCTAACAAAACCTGGACACTGATGTCTCTACTCAGCTGGAATTTTCTATTGATTAATACTGATACTCAAAACAGTTCCTTTAGCCTCTCTGTAAAACATTCTTTCTTCTTTCCTGGCTTCCAACAGCATGAAATATGTTTTTACCTCTAATTACCTCTGACACCTTCTCCATTAATTCTTCCTCACAATTGTCCCATTAACCAATGTCCATAAGAAAAAAAATGAAATTTATTAAAAGGTATGTGGACATAACAGAACTCATTTGACAGACAATTATTAGGAACAGTTAAATATTTATCTCTTCTGTCCCCCTGAACCATCATGCCCAGATTTGGAGCAGACATGTTACCACCTCCTCTTTTAAGACCTTTTGTTACTCTGTTGGGATTGCAATCAGCAGTCTTGGATGCAGTCACAACAGTATTGCTGTTCATTGCTAAACTCTGCTTCCTCTCCCTAATGTGAATGTCTCCTGTGGCATTGGGATGGACAGCCCAATACAACACGGATCAATGGCAATCTCCCACACAACAGGTCACTGACATTCAGACGGAGAGCAAAATTCTTGATGCAAATCACAAAGTTCCAACTAAGAATGATAATACAAACCTTGGATACGATGTCTTCCAATTCACTTCTTGGCTTGTATGTTCCATCATCATAGCGAAATCTGTACATCACCTGTTCATTCTTAAACTGGTGCTTATCTGAAACTAAAATATCAGCATGATAATTGAAGTTGTCATTTTGTCCTCACCATGTTCTTTATAGGCCAGTTGGTAAAAATTGAAATTTTTTAAATTTTACATCAGATTCAGTTTATGTAAGGCTTTGGAAACAGTCCTAGTGAAGGGAATTGGGAACATCTGACCTTTCTCGATGAGTTTTGAACATAGTGTTGCAAATTCCCCCAATAGTTAACACAGCACTTACAGTCATTTTTGCAAAACTCTGCAGCTCCAAAAGCAGAAGCACACTGGTGGCAGAAACTACAGCTGTCCAAGGTATTCTTCAGTCATGGTTCTTGTAGTTACTAATGAGTTCTTTCTAAAAATTAGACTAGTTTTTTTTCACGCAAAAAAGCCATTCCACAGTAGAGCAGTTAAAATCTTAGTGGGTAATGCTATCTGTTGATAGGCTTTAGAGGTGATGACACAAAAGATGTTTCAATGTGATCAGGAGCCACTTCGAAAGAAGCAATGGCCAAAATCAGAAAATAATTAAAAAACATACCCAGATTCAGATTTATCCAATGCATCAGACTGGAAGATGGTTGAAGTCTACATCCAATTACATGTAGGTTTAAGCAGTCTCTATTCTAAGGCAAACTATTTCCACAGAAGGCGGAGGGGGGAAACCCTCATCCTGAAGATGGTAATTTAGTAACTAGTAGAAGTTATTTGTTTCACTGAGTAGTAAATAAGTGGCAATGTTAAGTATAAACGTGCCAAATCTCAGTGTCCGAGCACTCCTGAATCCTTCGGATGCACCATATGATGAACTGAGAGAAAATATGGATTTACACTATTTAAGATGCATCTTAATCTAGATCTGATTAACCTGAGAAAACTGACTCCTCTGGATGACTGAAGACAATCTCCTGGGTTAGGCAGACTCCAAACTACCAGGACACAGTCTGAGACTTAGTCTGCCCCTTGAAGAATGGGTGGGATAATTGTTTAGAGGGCAGACACCAGAAATTCTTAAGACCTTCCCTCACTACATAGGATACCCTGGTCTATAATTCAGATTCCTACTTTTGATTATATTTTCTCGTAATTTCACAGGATCAAAAAAAATTTGCAGGATTCAATGTATCCCCTTTTGTCTACAGTTCAATCTCTAAGATATGCAAGTTATTGACTCCTTCAAGTGTCTGCAGGCTCTGGATTTATGAATTTCTAAATAAAACTGATTCTGTATTTCTAAATCAAATTGAGAACTGAGTTACCAGAAAGTGTCTTGTGTGTCTGGCACACAGATCAGGTTCTGATCAATTCTGTGCCCTGTGACAGGTACCAGAACTTCCCCATAGCAGTCCCAAATAAAACAGCCAGAACTAAAGAAGATAAGGAGGAAATTTCAGGATAAAACACACGGTGCTTAGCATTTAGCAATTTTCTATGGCCCTGCTTCTCAAGCAGGCTAGAAGAGCAATGATGTTATGCCGAGTGAAAACAAAACATAAAATATAATTGCCTAATGCAGAATGGGGTTAAGGGCCTCATTATGGTGTATATAGGGTCTTGCTACATTAGGAGACATAATAGGATACTTTTGTGATTTTCATTACAAATACCTTCCAATGTTTAACAGTAACTTTCACTGGAGACATGAACATCAGGACCTCTGAGGTCACGCTAAAACCAAACCAGATGCATCTTACTGAGGGCATTTGAATAAGGAGAGCAGTAGATCTAACAGCACAACTTTTGAAGTGTAAATTTATATTAAGAGAAAAAAAAAATTGATGAAAGTGTCAAAGTATGAACTTGTGGCAAAGTAAACAGTCACATGAAATAAGTCTCAGGAGACCTTTCTGCATCAGCAGCACACTCTGAATGCAGGCCAGTGAGGGTGTGAGTGCCAAAGAGCATTGCTCATTTAAAGAGGGATCCCTCCACACTGGAGCCAGAGTGTTTCAGTTCTCCAAAACCAAGTGTTAGTGCTTTTGAGCTCATGCTCAAACTCTTCAAGGTCTGCCTATGCCTATGAAAGCACATCTTTGTATGTGGAGATAGAAGCGTATGTGCGTGAAGGACTAAGGGACTGCTTACAACAGATTTCTCCATGTGCTAATTAAAAGAAGCTAATATACATAATTTCTTTAGGATGTTACTGGCACCTGAAAGACAAGTTTGTGGTGCTAGGTAACCAAGAGATTAAAGTAAGACTAGCCTAATACAGCTAGTCTTATAAATGGCTCCCTTATAAATGGCTCCTTTACTTCAACTGATTTTGAAGAGACTGTATGAAAATGTAGACCAGTGGTGAGTTAAGACCCATCTGTAGTATTCCTTTGATGTGCATTTTGCAGCTAAACTCACCTGAATGCTGAAATTGGGATATTTGCTGTTTAATTAGAGTAGGACTGTGTTGCTCTGTCTGCATGATGTAATATGGAAACAGTAGGAAACAGCAGGAGAAACCTGAATTTAAACAGTGTAATCTGGAAAAAGACCTTTTAGTAGAAATGCAGGTTGCACAGAAAATTTTCAAACAAACATACTTCAGTCACGAGCACTTTTGTATGCACGGTCCTGTGCTTCTAGAACACCCCTCATCACAAAACTTCAAGGTCATGAGCTGGGTGAAATGAAGAAATACAGTCCCTCACTATTTCAAAGAAAGACATTCTTGCTAAATGAGCTGGAAACACCACAAAGCCCCCATTATCTCTTTATTTTTCGACAGAGTCATTTGAATGACCCATCACCTGTCCCTTGTCTAAAAAAGCACTGCTCCACTCCTCTGGATTGCTGATGTCTCATGTGCAAAGCTGTAATTATGGACTGCAACACATTTTCAAACATGCATAGAGCAAAGGAATATACCTCATATAGTCCCCAACTAAGAGGTTGCAGAGAAATCAAGCAACTGCAGACACAAACACTTTCTGGATACCAAACAAGTTCTCCTTTCATGGTGTAAATTTGCCCACTCATTAATCCCAAAAATCACTAAACGTTTTGGCATTTGATGGGTATGGCAGCAGAAAGGATTTGAACATCATGTGAACAGCTTCAGTAAGTCTTTCACGCTCACTTCCAAGGCATTACTGAAATCTGATATCTTTTTATGGCATGGCACACTCACCATGATGAATGATTCCATTTTCCAACAGTGCCTGTCCCAGGTTGACCCCCTCCTCTGGTTTGCTGATCTCTCCAATCTCAGTAAGCCACGACACAAACTCGCTGCAAAGGGGAGGAGAACACACACAGTGAGCTCTGAGTGGCAGCAGGCACTTGCCTTCCCAGTCATCAGCCAACCGCAGGAGACTCTCTTTGAAGCAAGTGTGAAAACTGTTGGAAGCAATGGTACCTCTACCCAGTGGCTTTATTTCCTACACTCCTGGAGGAAATGCCCTGCAGAAGATTTAGGCTCTTCCCATCTCTGCCCTTAGCTCAGTGTGCACACAAAAGAAAAGATGACCTGGCTGCATCTATAAGAATGATGCAAACCCTTATTTTATGGAGCAATACAGACATCCATGTGGAAAAAGATTAGTGAGCAAGATTAACTAAGGACCTTAAATCAAGTTCAATGGTCAGGTATCCTCCCTTCTCAGGTACTTCTTCCCAAGTTACCTATCCAAGTAGTGTTCATGATTTGCCTTAATTACACATGCTCATTCTCCTGCACTGGCTCTGATTTCTATCCCCAGTCCCATGGTGTAACTGATTGGCTTTAATGGAATCACAGTAGGACTCAGAGCGGAAGACTCAACCTACTGAATTCAAGCACACAGCAGTAACAGACAGGATAAGTCCTACTGACAGGTTAATTTAAGGTCATTTTCTGGAGGTGGTGCCTGGCAGATTACATACATCATGCTTCTAATTTATACACAGAAGGTGCTATGTCTCATCTGCTGCTCATGCAGCACGAAACAGAACCTCTCTGTTGAGGGTCAGAGCTGCACACATGGGCAGAACAAAAGCTAAAAAAGGAATAGATATGTAGGATGCTATTCATTAGAAACAGGAAATACAAAGACCAGCTATCACAGCAAACTGGATGAATCCAGCTCTGCCAGAGCCCCAGGGGACTGAGCTGTTTGCCAGGTTAATTAGCAATTATACTAGAAATGTGATACAGTCATGGAGAAGAACAAAAGGAATATGTGAAAGTAGAGCAACTTATGGGAAATGTGAGTTCAATAAAACACTTGGGTACTTGCCAATGTGCAGAAGGTTGCTACTTAACAAAGCCAGTAGCCATGTCTCCACCTGTGGGCTTTAACTAAAATATTTTTAGTTTCTTTGTATTTATCAGCACCGACTGATCTAAGCTGTAGGAATTATTTGCATTTTGCCTTTAGAATAACAAAACAACTTCAGGACTGAAAATTCTGGTTTGCTTACGGGCTACTTGGTAGCTGTCATAGTGCAGAAAAAGCAGCAGAATCTATTCAACTATGCCAGGAGAATTCCATGGAAACCAGTAGTTTCGTGAAGCCCCTAAAGTCATATTAGTGATGAGTCAGTCTATCTCCTAAGGAAAGTTCTTTTCTCAGTTATTCTGAACAGTTTCTGCAAGTATTTAAAAGCTGAAACAGAATATAAACTGCAGAGGGAGGCAAAGTAGGAATGATCCTCCACCCTCTCTACTGAGGACACAAGGCAGGGCCACTGTGCAGGGCCCCGCCAGGGAGCTGCTGCCAGGGACTGTCCCCACACAAAACACCCCTTGCTCTGGAGTTCCTCATCAAGAGCAATGGGTCTGTGGCACTTTACAGCACTTAAATGGCTGACCAAAACCCCAGTGGTACCTACCCTGTTACCTCTCCTGCTTCTTTTATTTGGAACTGTCTCTGGAGTTTATGTGGATTGTAAATGTAAGGTTGATATGGCGAGCCAAAATGGGAAAGTAACTGAATGCTACCCTCACAGCTCTGAAGCTTCCCAGTCATGGGATGGCTTTCTTAAGAGCTGCTTTAACATTTCTATGACATTTGATTCAGAAGCAAAATCGGTAATCATTTGATCTGAAGGTTTTATAAGCCGTGAAAAGTGCATGATCCAAAAATATTCCAATAGGTTCTTAAGGAATACACTAGACTGTTTCTACAAAGTCGTCAACTCAAAGAGTGGATGGGAAAACTTGATTTGTTTCCTCATCTTCTCTGAATCAGTTCTCCAGGATAATTGAGAGAATCCTCACTTCTCAGGGCTGCATGCTCAGTTCTAACATCTGACATTCAGGTCAGGACACCATCTCCCAGCTACACCTTGGAAATGAAAAGACTTGGAACAACTGTGTTTCTACACAAGAAATACACAGGAAAATCCAACCTATCCAGGACTGTATAATCTGATCAGATATGGTTGAAATCTCCTGAGGATACCAGATGTTCTCTCTTACACACTCAAGATTTTGCAGTGCTGAAAAGAAACACAGCCAGCATATCATTTACACACAGTGACACCAACACACATCATTCCAACTGTATCACCAGTTACTTGCCTAAATGCCACGAAGAATGACCAGGAAAATAGATTTCCACTCAAGCCAGTGAGTTCCTGAAGTTAAGTTCAATAAACAGCTTAATAAAAAATGCATATGATATTTGTGGAAATATTAGGATTAGATCATGCTGTTTCTCCTCGCCCCTCCAAATGATCTCTTGAATTATGACATGCTATCTGATATTCACACACTAAGAGAAAAATTATTTTTGTGGCCTTGGGGCTGCTCTCAGGTGCACATAACAAAAAAACACTAAATACATCTCAGCACAGTTATCAGTGACTCCCTTAAGCAGAAGTATCTGCAAAAATAAACAGGTCACAGTCAACATGCATTGTTCAGGGAAATCCCTGGGTATGATACAAAATCTGCCAGTCATGACTGGAATGTACTGACTGCGTTGCACTCAGCTGAGTTTCCCCAAGACTATAACAACAAGTGAATGCAAAAAAGATATCAGCAGAGTTACTTGCTGTGGAAACAGCTAGAACATTAGGAGAAATAATCCTTTTTTCAGAGATCAGGATACCTGTAGGTATCTCAGTCTGGGCTCAGTTAGCCATTAGCAAAGGTAGGTCAAGTCCTCAGTAACGGAGTGTCAGGTGGCTGTCAAGCAAACTAAGGGCTGTAAGAAAACAGACATTTTAAAAGGAAAAGTAGTAGCAGGAAGTCCTGGCTAAGACTTGAAAGTAAGCATAGCATCAGGGAACCCACAACAGACTAATCCATAACAGCACTGGAAGAATGTTAGGTTTCTGACCTGGTACTTCTTTGGCATGGAAAATAGGAACTGCCATAATCAGATCTAACAGGTTTCAGTTTTAATCCAACAAGATCAGCCAGGGGGAGAGAAAGGGGGAGGATGTGTGTGAAGACGAAAAAAGCAACTGCTTCTCCAATATCAAGATTTATTTTTTTTCCTAGCAGAAGTATCACCAACCTGTGCTACCAGCCTGCCTTCAGGCAGAAAGACATTTCCACCCCTGTGCCCAGCAATGCTGCTGCAAACTGCTGTTACAGAGACCAGAGATGGAAGGGAAATGAATGAATATCTGCCTCAGAACTTTTCTTCTTCCCACAGCTGATCATTTCAGTCAGTAACAGCTGAGGTGGAAAAGTCTTCTTAGGTCAGGAACTGAGTGCTGTGCTGCACAGGACACGTCCCCACAGCAGCCCCTTGCTGCCACTGCCAGTCACCCGAGACGCCCACAGAATCTCTTCTGCTGCCTCATGCGTCACCTTTCAGAATTAGTTTGTCATTATTTTGTAATATCCAGCTGAATCAAAAAGTTTTTTCCCAGCCAATGAAGTCCTATACTTCTAACAAACCTATCAGGTCACATGATGCACAAAATGTCATTTGTGCCTGTCACACTGACAAACAGGAAACTTCTAAATACAGTCCTGAGGCCTGGACAGTTCTGCTGGATTTAAGAACCACCTGGAAAGCATTTGCTTGTATACAAAAGAGTACAGGTTAGGCCACCAACAACCCTGAGCTTGCCGGAATTTAAGGTAGTTTTCTTACTCCTTTTGCTGATCTGAAGCAGCTGCTATGACTTCCTGTAAAACAGAGTAAGCAGTCACAATATTCAGCCCGTGTATGATGTGAAACAAAATTATTATTTTTAATAAACCACTACTGTAATGGGGTTTATGGCCTTTTTAATTAAGCTGCATAAAAGGACATCTGATCTGTGTCACAATGCCATCCCCTGAAATTCTAGAGTCCATTAATTGGTGTGGAAGACCTTTTGAATTCAAATGCCACTTACTTGCCAAGAAAGCACTTGGGAACAGTACTTAATTTTCTTCTCCTGTCTTTGATGAGGTTCACTTTCTTGTTCATCATCATTTGGTACAGCTTCTCTCCTTTCTCTGCAATCATGACATATGCATCCCTCTCCATTCCCAGTTTCAAACCTGGAATATAAAAAAGAAACTCCTTCAGATCTTTAACATCAAATAAAATGTTTTCTCAAAGTCAAAAGCTGAGACCAAACAGCAAAAATGGTAGAAACACAAAAATTGATTGACTTATTTTCCATTTAAGGGGAAAATTAGGTAATTTTAAAAATCTGAGTATAAAACTATCATTGGTAAGTTTAACAACACTGAGATGCAGCTTTTCTTCTCCATTTTAAAAAGTAGCTTTAAATTTTTGGTTATATCATATCACACTAAACAGAATGGTTTACAGAACATGAAGAAAGTCCAAAGCAAGATGAACGTTGGTCAGGGCAATCCCAAGCACGAATATAGGCTGGGAGAATGGACTGAGAGCATCCCTGGAGAGAAACACAGGTGCAGGTGGATGAAAAGCTGGATGTGACCCAACCACATGCTCTGCCACACAGGACGCCCCCGTGAGCTGGCTGATGCCCCAGTGTGGGCAGCAGGGGAGGGGGATTCTTCTGCCCCTCTGCTCTGCTTTTGTGGGGCCCCACCTGGAGTGCTGTGTTCAGTCTGAGGCCCTCAATATGAGAAGGACATGGAGCTTCTGGAGCCAGTCCAGAGAAGACCCTGGAGCTGCTCCAGGGCTGGAGCCCCTCTGCTCTGGAGCCAGGCTCAGAGAGCTGGGGGTGCTCACCAGAGAAGAAAAGGCTCCAGGGGGAGCTCAGAGCTCCCTGCAGGGCCTAAATGGGGTCCAGGAGAGCTGGAGAGAGACTGGGGACAAGGAATGGAGGGACAGGACACGGGGAATGGCTCCCACTGCCAGAGGGCAGGGCCGGATGGGATCTTGGGCAGGAATTGTTCCCTCTGAGCGTAGGCAGGCCCTGGCATAGGGTGCCCAGAGCAGCTGTGGCTGCCCCAGCCCTGAAAGTGTTCAAGGCCAGGCTGGATGGGGCTTGGAGCAATCTCAGATAGAGGAATGTGTCCCTGCCCATGGCCTTAAATGGCCTTTAAGGTCGCTTCCAGTCCAAACCATTCTATGATTCTGTGATTCTCAGCCTTCTGAAACTGTTCTGAAACTGATTTCCTGTGGCAATTTCACTTGTGAACCTGAAAAAGCTTCAAGCATAAGAATTGTTGAAGGTATTTAAATGCTTGGAAGAGCAGGAGACTTTTTGAATGTTCTATTACTTGAAGCCAAAAATACAAAACTGCTGAAATCAATTTCACTTTTGTGAATAAATTAAAATTGGGCAGGCATATTATTTTCTCATCCTTTATTAATCAGCCTATTTAATAATACATTTAAACTAAAAATAGTCTTTGACAATCATATTATCCAGTAAATTAAATAAATACTGCATGACTTGAAGAATGACTGATAACTGAATATAAAGAACATTTCACGTTCACTCTGTACAAGTCCCCAAGTACATAGTTCATGGTAACTTGAAAACTGCTGCAGGCAGAGGGATGATCTCTGAAAACAGCACATGTCTCTGTTATAACTATCCTCATAACTGGCATTTTTCAGCCCTCATCTCTTTAAATTTGCAAATTGCTTTAGGATGACAGCATTTGCAAAAGCTGTTTTGGTGTTGTAGATGCTTTATGTCTTCTAGTCTGAACACACAGTTTTCTGGATATGTTACTCTGGAACTTGCAAACCTGGGCAACTCTGGAGTCCAAAAGAGATACAGATTTTAGACACCTCCAAGATCAGCTTGAGAACAGACAGCCTGAAGTGGTCCTGTACTTCCATGCCTAATTTTAGCAGAGATCAACATTAGGCAGAATTTAAGTGATCAGTGTAAGGCTAGGGAAAAGGAGAACTGTGCATTTTTTTGGGAAGAGAAGTTCATCTTAACTGGATGCAAATCCTGTTGCTTTCATGAATCAAGAGCCTTCTGAGACCTCAGAGCTCTTTCCTAGCTTTTGGGAAACATTAAGGACAGATTTTAATTCTGCTCATGAAGGAAAATGCACAACCTTTTCTCTTCCTCTCAATTATGCGTATGTGCATATACATTTGTCCTACAAATTCATTCAGTGCAGTACGAAATACATCATCCACTTACTCTCTCTCTGCTCCCTTTCCCTGATTATGGCATCCAGCCACTTCTGTTTATCTTCAGCAGTCTTGGCCATACAGACAAACCACTTGTTTTTGGCTGTGTTGTGAATCTTCCAGCCATTTGTCACCGTGTAGCCATTACTGTGGTAATCTGCTGCAAAAGACCCAAACACAAAACACACAGTGAGCAAGGAAGCTTGGTCCTTTAACCAAACCAGTGTAGGGCACTTCCAGTAAAATCATCTTCTTTGAAGACCTTGATTCCTGAGGTATTCCTCACTGATTGCCCATGGAACCAGCTGTACTTACCACTCTGGAAGTACAAGTATCAACACGCTGTTCAAACTGACTGAATGCTTCAGTCCTAAGAGTGACACTTGCTGATTTCACCTCTGAAGAAGAACTAAGGTCTTTTAAATACAAGGTCATCAGTGAAATAGTCTGTGATGTTTGTTCAGGTTATTCTGAATTTTCTGGGGACACACTATCTTCCTGTACTGTAAGAACTTCTGTCCCCATGACATGGAAACTCTTTATGTGTCAACTGTTTAAAGGACATAATACTAATTCCTGACTTACTACAATAGGGGCAGCTGTGGTGTAGCCTTGATGGATGGAATCAGAAACACATCCGGTCTTGCTGCCTGTGTCAGGATACAAGAGTCATAACAGAACTGCCATTCCTGTATTTTGCTCATGGTCACATTCCACGCTACTAATTTGAATACTAAGACTAGTATTTAGTGGCATTCTAAAGGAGAAGAAAGTTTAGAAATTCTGCTATTTTAGCTGTAATGGCTTACGATGTAAAAAGCAAAGGATGGAAAGTTTTATTAAATTAGTTTGGATTAGGACAAAAAAACAGACAAGCCTCTGTCTGTCATACTTTTACTAAGGTCATTTCAGAAGGAAGGACTAGTGCCTGAAAGCATTTCCAGTCTTTCAACCATGTAAGTTGGTCCAATAATGAAGGCACTACAAGTTCCATAGATTGCTTCTGATTTCACTAGAGGAGATGGACAAGTACTTTTTCAATACCTTCCAATACAAGATCTGAACTCACTGTGCTCTTAAAAGACAATATTTAGTCACTTACCTGTTCCATCTTCCACATTCTCTACTTCCATTACTTCTGTATTTATTCGGCCCCTGAATATATAAAGTGATCCATTGATTGACTTTGTCCTTTTAGATGGTTTTTTCCCAGTAACTCTGCAATTTGAATGAAGACTGTTAGCAACACATAAGAAAACAGTCTAACACATACATGAATAAGTCAATCTGAGATATGATTATTGAAGGAGGATTCTGATATAGTGACCAGTGGTATATGACCACACCTCTGCTGTTATATAACTGGAATCCTCATTCAGATTTCCAAGATAGCTGTGTACCAGTGTTAGTACAGCAATAATGAGCTTGCTTTGCCAGATTATGTGAAGATGTGGGTGCCTTCAAGATTTACATTCTTGATGACTCACTGAAATGCATGTCCATGAACAGCACATGGCCTTGGGTGACAACTGCAGCATCACCTGAGAGCATTACATTTAACTCCTCTGTTCACCTAAATTTGTGATCAATCTGTGGTATGCACCAAGCTTTAAATATGAAATTAACTATGTAAAGAGGCCAGTGTCACCTGGCCTGCCACGTGTGTTACACATTGTTATAGGGAAAATTCTGCCAGGGCGATTTTGCACCCAAGTTTACATCCTTATCCATAAGCTTTATAGTGTCTCTGTTGAATTCAGGAAAGCACTTTTCATTATTAGTAATGCTCTGATTTTTATGCCCAAAATAGGCTTAAAACCATCCAAGTGACACCTGTTGTGCTTTACTATCCAAGAGTAACCTTGCTAAGCCAAAACACAACTGGTCAAATGGTCATTCAGAGGTGGAAGGTGTCCAAATTCCTGTCAGTGAAGATTTTGCTGTGCCAATTTGCCAGTACCTCCTAAGATTCAAAAAAATACTGCAGTAAAAATCAGCTGGGGAAAAAAAATTCTTGTCAGAGTGAAGTATTTATAATACTCAGAATAAACTGAGGTGAGATGGGAATCACCAGGTTTTTTTCTGGACATTTTTTCTTTTACAACTACCTTTAGTGACAAGTACACATTTCGCGATGACCACATATTTACATCCAGTCAGACTGACAGGGACTGTGATCTTGGAGCTATTGGATCCTTTCTTAAAGACAACTCAAATCAAAAGAAAGCCTGCCCTGGCAGCCCTAGGGAAACCCCTCAAATGTTCAGCCTATTTCCCTACATGAAACATACAGTTCCTGACATCAGGATTTAACAGCAGTCTACGATCCTGCTAAAACCAAAACCAATACTCAGCCCTGAAAATCTACGTCATCAGTTTGCCAGTCTTCCCTATGCTTCTGTAAAAGGAACTCTTGCAGAGCTAACATCACAGACCTAATTCTGATCCTACACTGGGTTAGACAATCCTACTCCTAATTTACGTTATTGTGAAAAAATAAGATGTCCAGATGGGAATGCATTGTTGTCTACTTATCAAAGACTGAGCCCTGAATTCTGACTGCATTTTTGAATCAATAAATACTGCACTGATTTCTACAAGTTAGCGTAAGAAAATGAGATGAGAACTCAGTCATTTAATCTCAAATAGGGACAGAGACAGTTTCTTAATGAGGTTTGGAGTTTTTTTAAGGAATGTCCGACTAACATGTCTGTTGTTTGAGAGCAGCTGGCCAAACTGACAGACCAACACAAAGGAAAAGACATTGATTTCCATTCTAGACTAATGATAAATAGCAGTGAGACAGCAGAAATATCCAAAATTAAAGCAGCTCAGTGATCAAAATTTATCTTGTACGTTAGGCAACTCCCAGCAGACTTAATGAAATATTATGGTTTTTAGTGGAAATCGGATCCTCAGCATCCCATCAGTTCAAGTTACATTGTTAGAAAAACGTAAACAATACCAGTCCCCTGAGAAACCCAAGTGTTACTGCAGCCTCCTCCAAAATCAAGTCAAGCCACAGAGGAGCTTGGTAACGTCTCCTGTACAAAAAGAAAGTTCTGCTTAAAGGGCACTAGAACATTTTGTTTTCCAAATCTAGTATTCCAGGAAAATTGCCTGGACAGCGCTGGAGTTAGGCTAACCTCAACGACAAATAGGCTAGAAAAACAGTTTCTAAGAGCTCTGAAGAAGCAAAAGATTAGTATCAAATTAACTGGAGGATTTTTAAGGAAACGTTTTTGTTAGAAAACGTATTTGTGAACTTGGTGTCATACAGAATTTTGCACGTTGGTAAATCTGATAAAGAGTCCAAGTGAAGTGTTTCCTCTCCCTTGTGCCATTTCAGAGTCAGAATGCTTCAGGTAGACAACATTTTAAGTATTTTAGATTTAATGGTGTAATTTTTTTTTTAATTTAAACATTTTTATCTCATCTAATTTTGAATGTAGATGTCACCTAACAATTTGTATTTAGGTTGTACAGATTTGGCATTATACACACAAAAAACTCTGAATATTACTGACGTTAGCTCACAGCTTTCACAGCTTAGTGGTTCCAAAATTTCTGTTGTTTCCCTGAGGAAAAAAAAAAAAGAAAGAAAGAAAAAGAAAAAAGAAAAAAAAAAAAAGGATAAAAAGACCCAAATTTTAAGAAATGAGATTTTTCTTTGGAGACAACACTGGTTTTACAGAATTTCTAATTTGGTTGGCTGTTCTATTTGGCCATCACCAGTAAGGAAGTATAACTTGAAGCAGGGGGATTGTATTACAGAGAAGGGAAGAAGAGAAGAGAGTGCAGAGAATGCGTTGTAAATTCAGAATGAGACTGGTATTGTGAAGGTGAAAAGCTCAGGAACTGAAATACTGTATAACTGCTGCAGAAGCAAGTTGTCTTCCACTCTGCCAATGTTATTTTAATTACAAGCAGCAGGTGTTAATAATACTTAAGGTTTCTTAGGTGGGATGTTGCAAAAAAATTCTTAGGATAAGAAAGGAAGACAACAAACAGAGCACATGGGCTGTAAACGCTAACAGCAACAGCCAAATCTTCATCTCTTTCCCGTTCCCCTCGGCCCTGCATCTATTTTATGTTTGCTTAGTCTTCCACTTTCCCCTATCTTGGCTTTTTATCATTTTTCACATCACCCTCTTATGCTTAGCATAACTTCACAATGCAAGTTGGCACCTTCACATAATTCCTGGAGACGCAGCTGCCCCCAGAAGCTTTTTGTCTGTAAGTACTCACAGCTTTTGCTGCACTGTTTTAACTCCTCTTTGGACTGCACACTTCTTAGAGGGGCACAGTGATACTGCCTGGACTATTTATCCTACCACATAGTGACTTCTCTCTCCTATTGCCTAAGTGACAAAAATAGTCAAGAACAAAGGAAACTTCCACCTGTGACTCAGCGCTGCAGAGCAACAGAGAATACAGTGAATGATCAGTAACTGATCACAGCTTCCACCTAGGAATCTTCTGAATGGTAAAACTGAAAGTACAGAGGGACTCACCTAGATTTCCTCTTGCAATAGACCAGGAGATTATCAAATAGAAAGAACATTCTCTCCTGGATGTTTCCTGCTGAGATTTTTAATAAAGTCCCTTGCAGCAAGAGCTGTGTACAAATATCTGTAAGATTTGACCCCTAAAACATAAAAAAGAGAGATTAATTTTCCTTTATGAGTGCACAATGAAGGTCTTTTACTAACATGCTCTTAATTTATCTGCCATTAAACTGTGAAATAACTGATGCAGTCATAAGGATTTCACCCAGATCTATTTGCCTTTCAGGTAAGATCTGTCCATTTAAAATGTCAGTTCCACTCTAGCTCTAACACCTTCCCTTCTTTCATAATCCACTTGTTCTGCTACAATTTAGCAGCAGCCTGCACATACAAAATAAGCTCTAAGCTCTAAATTCCTCAGTGATGCTGCCCACCCCTTCAAGAGCGTTTACAAGTCACAAAAGAAACAGAAATAAATCCCTGTAAACAGCGTGAGTCATTAAACTGTGCATAAACTGCCTCCAGGGAGGTCATGGTCCTGCATCCTACCTCCCATCCTTCAATGTGTGACTGCAGCTGTTCAAGGGCTTCCAGTTTCTCCATCTGTCTCTTGGTCTCGTTGATATTTGTACAGACTGTCTTCATTGCCTGAAGTGCACTCTGGACAGCTGGGTGATCAGGATGCTTAGAGGGAGTCCTCTTAGCTAATTCCTTTAAAAAAAAGAGAGAAACATGGAAACTGAGAAGTGGTTCATGGAAAGGTATGAGCATTAGCAAGCAATCCTGCAGGAAAATGCTAGAACCATTGCAAATTACAGAGAATTTGGGGACATTTTACTGCAGGTGCTGTCCTCTATTCTTCATCTGTACAATGTTAATATGAATGTTGTTAAATAAATGAGGCAATTGCTCATGTTATATATGCTACACTAAGAGAGCTCAAGCCAAGTATGTTTTGCTGTGTCAGATGTGTTTACTTTGTATTTTTAGAAGGATGGGGCATGTGTCCTGACATAGAAACAAACATCTCTGCTCTGAAGGAGTCTGTAAGAGTGTTTGCTTCACTTGTGTCAAAGACAACAACCCAGTTAAGCCTCGTCCGGTAAAGAACAGCAGAGGCAAGACTCAGAACCTGACAATATGAATGAGTATGGCAAAAAGGGCAACCACTGTCAACTCACAATTAATCATTATTTCAATAGTATTTCATAGTTAGCCACAACTGAATAAGAATACACTAAAGAAATCTAAAATATGGCTGGTAGTTTTACCTTGATACATAATAAGGTGTTGAAAACTGAAATACTTAACTTTTTCACTATCTTTTGCATCATTATGTTATTTGGTTGTTTAAAGGTGCTGTGCTGCTGAATCTCATGATTCTGAAGAAACTCAAGAATGTGTTTGGATACAGCCAGAGAGACTGCCCAGCACTGTGATGTGAATGGAGCTAGATTGCTTCCATCCACCTGTGACTTACAGAGTAATAGATGCACAGGAAAAGGAGGCTCACTGCCACAAATGTCAGTTGACATTCCTGTGGAAGTCTTTACTCTACTTTTGCTGAAAGTGTGGCCAAGAAAAGTAAATGCTCCAAAAGTAAAAGCAGGAGCCAGGTGTTATGCTTTGGTGACTATGCTGGTGACTAGCCTCTGCTCCTCGACTGCAACACCGATGACTCTCACTAAAAATCAGTGAAGCTCTGCAGCTCCAGTGCCACCCATACTGCACTGGAAACAGGTATGTACACACTAGCACTGTCTATAAACATCCCATTCAGAAATATCCCCAAAATACAGAGAAAGACCTCTTCATTCACAGCACACCCTGCTGCAACAAAGAGCATCTTCTCCACTCCCATCCCAGCGCAGCAGCAGGAGGAGGCTGGGAACAGCAGCGAGGGTTCTGGCTGGGACTGGCACCCTCCCCCCTCCACAGCCCTGTCTGAAGCCATCCAAGGCAAAGCCGTGCTGCCCTGACATTGCCATTTCTCAAAGGAGCACAGCTTGGCACTTCAGAAACACAGGGAGAGAGCTCTGGGTACTTCTTTATTTTAGTGACACATTTATGATGTGTAAACTCTATGAGCATTTGACAACATTTTGAAAGGCAGCTAAAAGCCAGCCCAGATGGCAATCCCTGGGTATGCCCTGTCCTCCACAAAGCCCACAGACATAGCTGTCTGGGATTGCTATCTCCTTGCAACTTGTGCACTAACAGGGCCAGGAAATGAGGCTGCTGCCACTTCTACTTCTTGCCAAGAGTTTCTTAAAATAATTCATAAAACACGCTTATCTTTCTTTTTTTTTTTTTTAAAGAAGTTTCTGACATCCTTCCCTGTGTCCTCCCTTGCCACACAATATTGACTGTGTACTTCAAACTGACAGCAAATACACTTTGCAGCTATTATTTGAGAAATTCATTCCTCCTGTCTTTATTCCCCTGAGGACACTCAGACATGGCCTAACATGGTGTTTGTCCACGGGATGCTGACCCTGTGCTGCCAGGCTGCCCTGCTCTGCACCTCAGCCCCGGGCACGCACTGGCCATGGCTTCAGAGCTGCGGACCTCGCTGCCCTGCCGAGCAACACACCTTTACAGAGATAACAAAACACAACGTACTCCTTTGTTTATCACTTCAAAAAGTTGTGTTAATCAACAGTTCATCTCCAAATGTGCTTGGGAAAAAAATAAATAAATAAATAAAAAGGCAAAAAAAGCCCAAACCACCTTTGTGTAAACTTATGTTCCTGGGAGTTTTATATTTGTATTTTACAGTTTGTAATATTTGCCTGTACAAAATTCGTTTTCCACTTAAATTAACCAGAAAATAAATGTTACATCAGACTTCTTCTGTGTACCTGCAAATCACAGTAGTTTTTTTATTCTGCATATTTTTAAAATTTGTAATTTATGTCAATGTCTCTGCAGGGTAAACACATGACAAGCAATGGTAGATCAGATGAAATAGATTAGCTTCTATATGCCACCGAACCTACAACATATGCTAATTTAAAATGCAATAAAAACATGTTTCTGGTTTTATAAATATCAGCAACTATTTGTGATTAGACATATGTGTGGAAGACAAAAGCATGATTTATAAATTGGTAGTGCTCCTTATAGCTCTTTAGGGAATAGACAATTTTTAATATTATGCTACATAAAAGTTGGACTTCGACTACACAGTGTCATGAATCTAAGAGCAACACAACTTTTCTGGGAGGAGGGAAGGGGGGAAGAAAAAGCCAATCCCCCAAAGATAAATGTATTCAATTATGGCCAAATAGAAGGTCCTGTTTCTCGAATAGCTACAAGAGGAATGGAGAGAACAGGGAGACATGAAGGTAAGCTTCCTTCATCCTGTTCTTATGCACACCAGTGGCTTCCCACATTCCCGTTTCCAAGAGCAGGCAGGGATTGATGAAGGCCTTGCGTGTGCCTCACTGCCCGGCCTTCCTTCCCAGAGGGTTCGGACTCTGGTGAAGTTTCCCTGCCCCTCCCAGAGCCAGTGACTCTTCCCCACATGAAGCAATACATAATTACTGTCCTAATCGCCCTTGGAGTTGTGTACCCTCAGATGTTTTTAAAGGATCAGAGGTGGAATGTGCATTTCTGGCTGAAGTCTGAGCAAATCCTTAGCAGAGCAGACCTCAGGCAAGGCCCAAGCCCTGTGAGCTCTGGGCTCTCGGGAGCAGGGTGCGGCTGTCATGTGCTGCACATTCCTCCAGTGCCAAAGGAGACAGAAGTGACTGTGCCTAATCCCCACACGATGGTGTGATTAACTCATGATCACCAATGCCCCAGGGTTTGCTTCCTGCTGACATAAAGTTTCTTTATTAAGAGGAAAAGACTATTTTTGTTGAGAGACTGGTTTACAGGACAGCAGTAGGGTTGTGGCTAGTTAATAGAGTGCCACAGCGAGACAGAGCTGCCTTGGCCCAAGCCCAGGGCTGAAAGCATCTGCTCCCTGAGCTCTCCAACCCGTGCTGGCTCCAGCGGCTCGCACAGCTGATGCTCTCTGTGGGTGTCCCTTTACCCCTGCTACCTTCCTTCTTCCCAAACACCAATGCCCATCACAGCCAACACTTTTGTTTTGCTTGAGCCTAGTCCATGCCCCTTTCCCAGTTTTACTGACTACAAATTCTATACTAATTTTCTTGCATGCTGTCTGAGACAGACAAGAACTGCCCTGGGGCAAAAATATTAATATTGTTACTTAAAGTGGATCAGTACTTGGAGATACTCTAGTGTATTATTCCTAATTAAGTAACCCAAATCAACTCCAGAACAGCCAGATGCCAGATGCTATTGTTCTGAACACATACACACATAGATATATATGTTATTAATAAAAAGTAGTTACAGTATTTAAAGTATGTGCCTTACCCTACTACTTCAGTTGACTTTCAAACACAAACAAGTCTGAATTACCTTGTGCATACTAGCTTTATCAAACCCACCCACTCGGCTACACTAAATGCTTACATTAGACAAGGTCATATCAAAGTTACAAGATAATCTGGATGTACACAAACTCTTGCTAAAAACAAAGTAAAAGAGGAAGGTAGGCTAGCTTTGGTCTAGGACTTTTCTCATCAGCTGGAAAACAATAGTATTTGTTTGCCCTGGGAATAAGATAAAGTAAGATCCAATCCCCACGAATACAAAAGAGCTATTTCAGGAGCCATAACTGACGTTCAGTAGCAAAGAGAGAGCAAACACTTTATTTGAGGGTTGTGCTATTTTTAAATCTATCTGTTTTTGCTTGGAGTGCTCCATTTTCCTGGTCAGCATGAAGAGAATCCATCCGTGTTTTCCCTTACCTGTTCTTATGTCTGAGACCTTTGTATCCACTCTGGTAATTTCATGCTAGCGACTAGCAAATAAGTCTTGAATGGGACACAATTTATTTGCTATGAATTCTCCACCTTTGAGAATCAGAATCAACCACACTTGATAATGGTCACTAATATTTTCTGAGCTGAACAACTTCTAGTTATGGTATTATCTCACTGACTAAAGCAGACACGTTGCCTAATGAAAACCTAATTCCTCTCTGCTTTTTCTTAAAACTTTTATTTCCTGACCAGGAAGTTTCAACTAGTGAAGAGTGTGTGATCTTTATCAGCCTGTATACACGAAGAAATCCATATCAAAATGGAATGCAGCCCCAGGAGATGCCCAGGAGTCACAGCCCCTCCCTGCCAAGGCTGTTTGTTCAACAAGTACATGTGGGTCTGGGTCAGCTGTCCCAGAGCCAAGGGTAGGCACAGGGAGGGCAAATTCATCCCTACCCCACTGGAAAGCAAGAAACACTGTTTCAGTCTTCATCTTGGTGGTATTGGCTTTGGCTTTCAACGAAAGGATGTTTGGTCCCCGGAAGTTTTGACATACATTGACCACAGAATTCCTACTTTCTTCCAAAACTCATAAAGGGACCTTTCTTTCAAAACATGAGGGAAAGTCTTTGTATTTTTTTTAAATTACTTTTCTTTTAGTAAACACAGTGTGACTCTGGCTGAAGAAGAGACTGACATCAGGGAAGATTGGCAGCTGTTAGCCACAGAGTATCTACGAGGCCACTGGGGGATGCAAGCTCTCCCAGAAACTGCTTTCTCCTTTTCCCTCTCCTTGTCCCCACCAGGCAGGTGACCAGAAAGGATGAGAGGCAAGTGAGCTGTTTTCAGGTCTTTTATGCTTTATCTTCTATGGTAAGAATACTAGCAAGGGAGCCAATTAGTGCCAGATACCATAATCATTTCTGGATTGACACTTGCCCATTGGGAACTCATCTGAGACAGCCAAAGAGTTTTCAAACCAGCTGCCAAACAGCTGACAGAAGATACAGACTTTGATCATTACTGACCCAATCACCATCAAACTAAAGACCTTGTAATGAAAAACATATCAGTTTAGAGTCCCCAGAGCCATCCAGTCCCTCACAGCACTGGCACAATTCTAGCTGAACACATCTTTACAGGAAGTGGCTAAAACAGTCCACATGATCCTTAATAAACACCTCAAGAGCACTGAAGTCAAAAGGCTTTGGTTAGTCAGTAAGTCACCCTGTCTGCTCTACCCAGACTACAACAGGATTTAGCAGCCTGCCAGTATCAGGTAGCTTTTTGCCTGTACCCTTAAGAAGCCATTTCCTTCAGAGAAGATCCAACCTTCAGAAGTGTAAATCAGGAAAGCAATAGTGGCAACAAAAGTCAGGGATAAAAAAAAGATGCAGAATCCTTCCAAGAATAAAACAACCATCTGGAGAAATACTTTCTCTGGTTTACCTTTAGCAGAAGAGGATATTTGCAAATTCTCTGAATTGGAGTCAGCAGATAACCCTCTAGTGGAATGTCAGTTGTCTTTCTGCCTCCCAAAAGCATGCAACCCTATAATCAAAAAAAGAAACAAATGTTACCTCAGACAAAAAGCTTTCAGATGATTTTTGACATGATTCTGTATTTCTAAACATGCGTTATGGTGAGAAAGCACTTCACCACACCTAAGGTACAGGAAACAGCACTTCATTCACCACTGACATACAGCCATCAAGTCTGAAAAGTTCTGCAGGCATCAGCAGAAGAAAATTTGCTGTGGATAAATTTGCTGTGCAGAAAGGTATCTTCTCAGAGAAATATTATAAAGCTGATGACTCAAAAACCATCCTAACAATACAATGGCAAACAGCAAACCTAAATGGACTATTACCTAAAATAACCCAATTTACCCCCACAAGAGATACGACCTGTTGTCTTTGTTCACTATGTAAAATTGTATACTGCTGGTCCAGAAAACTCTTGAAGGCTAAAATAAAGCCAGCTAACTAGTAATCATGTAATTAACTTTAGTCCAATTCTTATGTCTGAATTGACCTGTAATTGAAACAAATGAGTCATCTGCAAACATACACCAATTCTCTGGCAAAACATTATGCCTGAGCACAGCTGGAAAAACAGCCTGAGCACACTGGCTGGCTAACCAGCACACATGGAACTTCTCAACAGATTATGGAAATTAATTTCTCAGGACTGATATAGAAAGGGAGTTTAAGAACAGAGTATGACACTGGGGGGAAAAAAACATATAGTCCTTGATCTATCCTTAATTTGTAACAATAACCTGTAATCTTTATGACAAATCAATACTGCCCTACTGTTTATTTTACACATTTTCCTATTGGCTGCTGCCAGAGACAGGTAATAGATTCAGGTGGACTTCAAGTCTATTTCAGATAAACGAGTCCACATTCCTACAGTACACCATGAATATGGACTTTGCTCCAAAAGTCACTCCAGTTGCAAACCTGTCCTGTCCACACAGAAGTTTAACTTTAAATGCAGTTCAGCCAAGAAGTGCCTGCTTTGGGGCATCAGCAGTACTGTTTGCCCCTGTGAAATACATGCCTTGGCTCAGACCCACTTATAATTTTAGTGAGTTTTTTGGCTGTAGCTCTACAATTCTTCAAGGAATGTACAAAGACATCATACAAAAAATCTCCTTAGTCCTAACTGGTATTTTTACAGACAATTGTCTGTAAAATAACCTGTCCCCAGGCTATTCTAATCTGTGGCACTGGCTACCCAGCTCACAATTCTCCCTGTCCAATTTCCAAGTCTCAAGTGATTCAGTCCTTCCCATCTCCTCTTTCAGCCCTCTCTATAGCTCTGAGCTTAAATCTGCCCTTTAACACCTACTGACTTTTCAAACACACTCCCACATTCTATGTTTCAGCAGCTGTAAGGGGGCAATCAGGCCAAATCTATTCCCACAAGTAAAGGTTTGTACTATAGTGCTGCCTTTTTTGCATAGTAGCATTGTAGCACTGGTTTGGAAGGCAGAAGAAAAGGGAAGGGAGGCCTGGAAGGAACTACAGCACCACAACTAAGTAGACACATCAGTGCTGCCCTTCTTCCCATATTTACTACCATTTTAATGGTCTCTTGGATTCAGGTGCTGCGGCAAACCACAGCAATCAGCATGACATATTTGATGGCACTCATAATCAGTTTGCCAGCTGGTGTCTCTAACACAACAGAAAACTTTGTCGATCCAGTGGAAGTAGAGAACCTTCTGAAGGCTGGGAAGGACAGTGTTTGCATGCACCTTCTCTCCTCTTTCTCATTGGTTTCCCTCACCATAAGCACCCAAGAAACCCTCATGAACAAGGTAAGGGTCATTTAGTAATTCAAAGTAAATATAAATTTGATAAGGTTTGATAAGGTTCATTAAAACTCAGATGTGACAAAGAGACTCTGCCTATGCAACAGCACAAGGGTAGGCTCCCTCTGAGGTCTGTATCTTGCAGCTAAAGGAATGCTCTGGCCCTGCTTGTGACTCATGTTTACATGGAAGTTTTCTTTTGCTTTACTACATTGGAAAGAATAGACCTTTCACAGCAAGGGGGAAAAAAAAAAAAAAAAGAGCAGAAAGAAAAGCAAGTCCTTTGCAAGGAAGACAGCCTTCACTTCATAGAACTTAACAGGAAAAAAGCTGATGTGACGAATTATTCCCTTACCTACGTAATGGCTACGAAAATAAGACATTCAAAAATCAAGCAGAATTGGGGTGAAAGTAAGGAGGAGAAACAACCAAGAAAAAAAAAGATAAGTAAGGAATGCAGGGGTAAAAGGCAGTGCCCACTGACTGTTTCTCATCCCAGCCCAGCCTCCAAGATGGGTTTTGAAGGCTGTATATCCACAGTCCCTCCTTGGATGGGAGTGAAGTTACTTTTGATTTAAGCAGCAATGACACACTCAAAATAGTTCATCCAGATAAATTTCTTGCCCACAGCTGGACTCATGGAGAAAGGGGTGTCAGAAGCTGGTCACATTTTTCTGATGAGCCTGTAAATGGTGAGTTGATCAGAGAACTGAGCAGGGAACCAAATCCAATGGGAACTAGCTTCAGTCTTGCTGCTGATTTATTGCATTACTCCTTTCATCATCTGTGCTTTTTTTTTTAATGTTGATTCTTAAAAAAAAAAATCCTGGTTTCCACTGCCATCACTTGTGCTGGTAGTGCTCAGTTCTGGGCCTCAACTCATCAGTGATTTCAGTACCCCTCCAACCTGAGTGCTCCATACCTGCAATGGGTAATACCTGCAAAATGCCCAGCATTCCAGGGATTCCAAAGAGTTACTATGAGCACAGGACAAAGTCAGATCATTCAGTCAAGAGTGCTAGAGAAGGTGCTTACCAGAAGGAATGTTCTCACTGTCGGGATCTTGTTCAATTCCATCAGCAGTCTGAGTGCTTTCTCGTGGTTACTACAGTACTCCTCGTACACAAAGAATTTGTCTTTCTGCAAGGAAAAACAAAGTAACTTATTGACTCAGACACCACTAGAGAGATTATTTTGCCACAGTCTGTTGCCAAATTCTTTACATAGAGAGGTGGACTCCAAGTGGCATTAGCATTGGAGTTTTCATGAAGTGTGTGACACTCGTCTAATGTGAATAATGTATACAGGTATTCACTAATTCCTGACTTACTCTGTTTTAAGTTAACAGAGATTTTCCCGAGCACTAAGACTTTCAGCACTTTTCTTCTTAACACTTCACTGAGATCATAGGAATTCTTTCTTGAAAGGAGGGATTTTGCTATCTTGAGAAAACTTGCATGTGTGTCAAGATATTCCATGAAAGTAGCCAGGAGCAAAACAAAGCCAGGAACAAGGGGGCTGACCATTACTGCAGGAGGAAGAAAGCCAAGTGGCTGGGAAGAACCAAGGCCTAAGAAAAGCTCTGAATCTGGAGGGGAACTCTAACATGAAGTAGTCAGCTGGAAATTCCCTTGCCTCTCAGGAGGTGAGAGCCAGGCCCCAGCAGGTTGACTGGTTTACTTTGTGTTCTGAAACAAGCAGCAGACAAAATTTAACAGCTATATATAATAGTTTCTGTAACTCGAAGAATTTCACCAAATAACCAACATTTTACAGATACTAAACAAAGAGAAAGGTAGCTGCAAAACTAGATTGAGCTACTAACACTGGGACATGTCACACCCAGAAGCACATGCTGGAATGAAATCCCCTATTAAGAAATAAAGGTGAGTTGGCAGGTCAGGGTCAGCAAGTTCTGCTATACTGATCTTCAGATTCAAAGACAGTACAGCTCCTTCTGTCTAAAATGATCAGAGATACTGAACCCATTTCAAACACTAGATATCTGGAAAAATTGGAGTGATTGACAAAAGAAGCAGGAACAACTATTTCCACGCCCAAGCAGATAATGCAAGGGGTGAGTTGATCCTCTCAAAGCTGGTAGGAAGGGCTGAAGTTTCAGCAATGTTCAGAGCTTCCAGTCCTGCATTCACCTGAATAAAAGGGGAATCATGAGATTGTATTAGGCTTTAGGCAAAATGAATGACTCAAAAGCCAAAAAACCCATCATTTTTGAGTGCTTCTCACAATAGTACTTTATTTCCTGGTTCAGGTTGGCTTCTATGCCATAATGCAGTGCCATGTGGAGGCACCCACACAAGCCAGTTTGCATATCAAAAAGTAATTTCAAAACATTAGTGTGGTACTCTGCGGGGTAATATGTGAGGCTTTCCAGCGCTACCATCTCAGGGCACCAAGCCATGTAGCCAACGCCTTCCAGAGTTTGCTGTTGCATTCACAGCATGATTCTGGTCTGAAAACATTCTATCTGAACCTTTTAATCTCCCCAGAACTTGGAAGTTAATTTTTTTGAGTTTTGATTGGAGTCCTAGCACTCTTAGAGCTTCAGCTGTGTCAGCTGAAGGTATCTGCAGCATCTAGCTACTTTTAAGACAGCTTACAGTGATCCAAGCAAAAAAGTACTGCCAGCTGAAGGAGTTTACTAGCAGGAAATCATGGGATCCAGCTGCAGTCACTGGATATTCCTCTTGCTATTGTCACAAGGAAAAGAAATTGCATTTATGTTAGTTTAGGAGAATTTGACATTTTGGTCAGATGTTCAGTGGTAGATATACATATTCAGAGTCTGTAAAATGCTTTTGGGTTGGGTTTTTCACTAACCTGATTAATTTTTCCTCTCCTTGTACTTCAAAAGAAAGAACTGAGAATAAATAGATGTATGTCCAAACATAAGAACAATGGAACAAAGCAAATAAAACCATGGTCACAAAGAGTACGGTACAAAGAGCTGGAATGCAGATGTTCAAGACTTTTATCCTTCATCAGCAGCAATTCAGGTTGCTACTGAGGTGCAATACTGGGAAGCTGCAAAGAAACAAAAGCTTCTGACCACCAGATGCAGCAAAAGGCAGGCCTGTGACCACAGCACAATAGGGGAAAAAAGGCAACAGGATTGTAATAATTGTAATAAAAACAAGAGAGTTACAGAGTAAAACAGATAGAGAAGTTTTTCCCACATTTTATCCTCTCACCTCTCCTCAACTCATTGGATGCACACAAGCACCATGCTTGAAACTAAAACCAGCAGCCATTACCACAAGCTCATCCGTTACATCAGTGCATACAAAATGTCACTGCTCAGGTTTCTGACTGCAGCTTTGGAGCTTGGGAGGGTATATTTAGATCACGACAAAATCCTTTTGCTAAAGCTCAAGACAGTGCAATAATTATACACACACCAGAGTGCTTTCCTCAGATCTTTCCCAGCTATACCCCATGCTGGAGACCCACAAATATGAGAACTATGCTTAAAATTACTCAGTGTCTGAAGTGTTTCATTTCCTCTCTGGGTGATACTCAGTTCTGGGCTCTCCCATAGCCTGGTGAGGAAATTATCAGTTACGTAATTACAGATGTTAGCCCAGGAATTCTGAACATTCAGTTGCTCTAGGTTAAAAGTGCAATTATGGTCAGAGATGTGACCAGATAAAAAAGGCACTTTCTTACTCAGCAAATCTGCTGGATACACAGCTAGACCTTCTGTTTTGGCAATAGAAGTAAGTCTGTACTGTTCTCAGTTTGGTTAGTCTTTAACCAACAGTTTATTCTCCAAATATGTTATTTTGGATGCATTAGTATGGCCCACAAATCAGTGCAAATTTGAAAACACTTTTGACTAGAAAAAAGCAAATAAGATATTTGGAAAACTGCAACATTTTATTTGGACATATTTTTAAGAAGGCACGGCATTTTCTTGTTTCAAAGCAGGCTGGAACCAACGTTTTCAACATCAAAAACCTAAACAGAACACACAATTCTCAACAAAACAATATCCCTGATGACTTAGACAGTAAAATTGATCACTCATGCAACACTGCTCCAAAAAATGAGCATAACATATGTTTCCCTAGAACAAGTTTCTAGCTATTACATCCCCAAATCTCTAGCAATATGGCAATATCAGAAACAAAGGCTCTGACAATTCTTTGCCCTTCTGCTCCACACACAATCACACCCTTTCCTGCCCTGCAAAAATGAGCCTGTGCTCACGAGGTGTGGTCACTCCACGGTCAGCGCAGGTGTTCTCTCTGACACTCGAGACAAGTCCCACATGCTGTTTATGTTTAAGGCTGTACACTGGATTTGGAAAGAATATTCACGGATGTTCTTTACCATCTCTTACAGTCACACTGAATCCCTGCTCCAGAATAAACTCTGGCATCTACCATCAGACAATGAACTCCTGATCACCCGACCACATGGAGTACAGTAGGGCAGACAATGTCTGTCTTCTAAAGGAAAACAATTTTTCACACCTGAATACCAGAGCAAGCACATTTCATCATCTCTTAAAATACTTCAAAAAGACAATGTGCATTAATTTCTTTTTCGGAATTCTTGCAAAATCTGCTTGCTTGCTTTAGGTGTTACTCAAGACTTGAATCCTTATGAACTAGAGGTCCTCAGGACAATATTGGGCCCATAACTACCATCCCTTGATGTATTCAAAAAAGGTGTCAGTGTGGCACTTCAGCCAATGGTTTAATGGTGAACAAGGTGGTGGTGCTGGGTTGATTTGAGACTTGATGGTCCTAAAGGTCTTTTCCAACCCTGATGGTTCTATAAAAGCAGTGTTCTGTTTCTGAAGGCTGGTGGACCATTGCCGAGCAAGGCTCTTCTAGGCCAAGACAGACTAGGAGGAGTCAGGTCCATGTAGACTAGTGGACATTAAGGATACACAGACCTCATAAAGAGGATCCAAGCACTGCAGTCTGATGGAACTCCATCAGATGGTGAAACTGGGGATTGCTACAAGGATGTATGATACACAGAAACTTGGAGAAAACATGCTCCACTAAAAAAATGCAGTGTCTGGATAAAACAGTGCTTTAAGAATTCTCAAGTTATTCACCAAATTTTTAAGTATTTTTAACACTGAGTTTCTAAAGAAAAGTACCTGTGCTAACACCTGGCTGCTGACAAGTATTGGATTCATAATCAGGACCAGGAATGACCCTGCCAGGTAATCACAACAGCAGATATACCAGTACTTTCAAGATTCAGGGGCCTTATGCCACTTCCTCACTGCAAGCTCCCCACAGGACTCACTGTGATTTGATGATAATGAAAAGGCAACACTGAGGGTGTTCCAGCACTACTTCTAAGCATATTTCAACAACAGAACCCTGCCCAAAATGAAAGGCCAAAGAAATGTTGCCCACTGTTTCCCTGGGTGAAATGGCAAGAGCGTGTGCTGATGAAAGCTCCCCAGCCCCGCAGCGCTGGCAGCGAGTGGCTGCTGCGATCCATGACCCTGGTGTGCTGCAGGGCTGCTGAGCAGGGACACATCACACACCCCTGCCTGCAGTACCAGGCAAACACCTGCAGTTGTTCTGAGGCGCTTTAAATTGTGCTGCTTTTTTGATGGGTGGGAAAAGAAGGGAAAAAAATCAACAAAAAAGGAAAGAGTTTCTAAAAATAAATTGGTGTTTAGTTCAGTTTGATGTGATGTCCATTATTCTAACCTCATTCACAAGTTTTTTCCCACCCTACCCACAACTTTTGTACAAGACACACATTGTCATAGTATTGCTATAAGCCTTAGAGATTAGGGTTTGCTAAGAGACCAGAGAGTTTATGACAGGAAACTATTTTCAGATTGCATTAACTCATTGTACTTACAAATTTTAAGAAAACATTTCCCAGTTCATGCTGAGACTGGGGTTCTGGTTGCAAACAGAATTCCAGAGCAGCCAGGAACTCCTTGTGAACACCAAGAATGTCTTCAATGTTTGAAAATAAGATCTGAAACATAAAGGGAAAAACATTGCCAGTTTTACAATATATCACAGTTTTTTTGCTAAGTAGTAACATCAAAATACTGTACAGTTCTAGACTTACCACAATAGGATCCAAAGCTCAGACAAGGTCTTGTAAAGAACAAACTACATTGTATTTGCCCCTTTCCTAGTCCCCTATAAAAATCTTTACTGCTACTGAAGCACCTGCTGTAAATTAAGGTTATCTTTGCAGACCCCTGAGCATGATAAATGCAAGCAACCTCTTTTAAGTCTTGAGAATATTTTTCATGAGAACAGCCAGGTACGTGGAGCCACAATGTCAAACTCATTTTACAGGAGACAGAAGCAGGGAGTAATTTGCCTTTCCTTCCCATGCATTAGAAATCCCTTTCTGGAAGAAAGGGACTTGAAGGTATCAAACACAAGGGTGCACTTGTAAATAGCAGACAAAATCTGCTGTATGGAATCCGGCCTTTCACTGCCCAGTGTACTGCCCAGAGTACAGAAGAGCGTTCATTTCTCACAATCTTCAAGAGCAGCATTTAGAGCTCCCTCTCACTGACCTCAGTGACACCAAAAGGCACATGTAGAGGGGTAGAGGCCCCTCGTTTAACCTTGTATTAAAAGCTAATGGTGACAGTTAAATGATCCCTGTGATTAGAATATATGTGCTAAGGGGAATAAACCGCCAGGGTGAAAGATGCTATAAACACACTGTAAATCTTGGTCATTTTCATACAAAATGTGCAAAGAAAGTGTGAATCCACGTGTAGGAGATGGAATGCTACCTAGAGAGGGGCAGAAGTCCTGATGTGAGGTGACAGCCATCAGTACTGGCAGCCACTGGAGGGAAGGCTAAAAGGGAAGTAAATCCTGGAGTCTGCAGTGACATAGGTGTTGCAGACAATGTTTCCATCACTTTGCTTTAACGATGTCACTTGCAAAGAGAAGACCTGCAGTGCAGTCAAACAAGCTTTCACGTTGGAAGAAGCTCCCAGATCTGGCTCAGTGAGTAGGTGACCGTAAAGTATGCAGCCTGACAGAACCAGCATTCATCTTCCTGGCATTTGCTGTGGGAAGTGATCAAGCCTAACATCTCCAAACACTTCCCAAAATGCCTTACCGTAACACCAAACTCTTCAACTTTATGCAGCAGAATTTATTCACCAGCTGTAGCACTGAGTCAGCCTGGTGGCTGGTGATGTGGCAGCAATTCAGAGAAACAGTGATCTGTAAATTAAGTCTAGTTATTAAAGCTAGGACTGAAACCTCAATTCCTGGTTTAAAACCAGTTTCTCTTTGGTTTAGCAGGGGTGGACAAAATCAGGAATTCAAAGCTCTGCAGGCAGCCAGGTTCAACTCTATATTTCCATTACTCACAAGGATAGGCAGAGTATTTCTCTTAAACTCCTCCTTCAAGCTGACTACATGTCCAGAGCGGAGCCTGTTGCATCTTCCTTGTCTTTGCTTCCCTCTCCCTTCAGGAATTCTGAGATATGGTGCTGTGCACCATCATTAATGCCCACTTGTGCATCACAGCTTCTTTCTAGGCCCCAAGAAGCTGAAAGATTCAAATACACTGAATTTGCACTGACTAGCTCTGAACCTAAAGAAAGGCCAGGGAGCTAGGATCCTTTCATTGCTCCCTATAAACTTCTTATGCTAATTCAAGTGGAGCCTGCAAGTGTGTGAAAGAGTGTGTGTAAATGTGGCTGAAAGTGATGTGATGTGATGATGCAGTAGCCCTTGCCTGCATTGCTTTGCTGGAAGCTGTACCAGAAGGGGATTAACAAGCAAGAGGGAAACATCTGTCAGGGATGATTTTATCCTTCAGGAGCAGTCTTCAGGGGTGGAATATCTGTGCAAGCTAATGAATTCTGAGGTGATCAGTAAAGCTTCGTTTGCAGCAGAATTTGTAGGTAAGAGTTACTTGAAAATCAAGGCAGCAGACAGACCTTGACTGCACATGGTCTTGTACCAAAATCCAGTTACCAGCCTTGTGCATGCCCTCAAGTTGTACTGCCTTCAACCTGCTCTATCAGTTAAGTGATAGCAGTGCCTGCTGTGAGCATAGTCTAACAGTAACACATCAGGAGAGTTATTTCCACATGAGGCAGTGAATACATTCAAACCGATTTTTTTTATCATGTTGCTGCAGCTGTTAGTCACTGGCACACTTGTAAAATCTGGGCCTGGCACAGGACTCAATGTGGCCTTTCTGGAGAGAGCTACAGTGGCTAAAGATTACTGAAATCTCTGGTGCTTAGCACCAGCTGTAGGAGAAATCTGCAAAATTATACTGGGAGCAATAACCCAACTTATCTTAAAAAACACTTTCTCCTTGTCCAGGTTAAGTGACTGCCTGAGTGACTGCCCTGTATTTTCCTTGAGGCATTTCTGCCACGTGAAGAAAGAGAGTAATGTCAGGCTTCTCCTTACATAAGCTCCCGAACCACTTTTAATAGTCTCTTCTACTGTTGGCCACCTCACAGTTCTCTGGTGACTCAAGACACACAGTATCAGCAGAAGTCCCAACTCCACCTTGCTTTTCCTGCCTCTATCAGCAAGTTGAGAGAAAAAAGTGGGAAATAAAAAACAAGTATCTTTCAACTGCAGGAAAGACAAATTATTTGGTATAGCGGGAGATGGAGGGTGGAAGGAGGAGACAATATTGACGCTGGAAACTATGGGCACACGAAAACTTGTGTCTTGTGATTCTGTTTTACCAGAAAGGCATAAGCCTCTTATTACTGAAGGGAATCTCTCTTATTAAAAGCTGGGTATTGTAATAACAGCAATAAAATGAGGTCTTACAGTGGCCTCAAAAAGACCATTTAAAGCATTTAAAGAATGACACAAAAATGAAGTGGTACTTCACCAGAGGAGTGTGAAGAAACTTCAAATACAAAGCCTGCTGACAGGATTTGTAGGCACTGCATCTGATTATGTGGCAACCATAATTTATATTCATTTTGATGATATGAATAACGATAGAATAATAATTTTCATCAACATCAACAATGACAAATAGTTGTGTGACAAATAGAATTTATTTTCATGCAGAGCTTAGTTTTTGCACACTTCTATGTACACAAGAGCTACTGTCACTAATCATTTGTCTACCTTTTCTTCAGCCATCCCTGAACTTACTCCAGATGCTGGACGGTGAGTTTTTGGAGAGTGGGGATTTCCAAATTTGAAGACAGCAAGAGGTTGAGCTCTCCAAAGCTGCCAGCGGTCTTGTTCCCAGTCCCATCTGGTATCAGCCAGTCAACACCACCTTTCTGGCCTGAAGAACGGACAGCCGAGGTGGGGCTAGGACCCTGCTCACCTGCTACATGCAGGAGGCCTGGCACAGGAAAAGGAGGAGCAGCCACACCAGCTGCAGCAGCACTTTGGGTGTGACACACCTCCTGTGGCTGCCCTGCTCCCTCGGGGCAAAGCTGCTGCTAATTCAGGAGCTCCAGGACCAAACACAAGTGCAGTAAAGCATCACCCAGTGACAAACAAACTGCTCTGTCCCACTCACCAGTGGGTTTCACTTGTGTTGGTGTATGAAGAGGGGTTTGGTTTCATGTGCATATGTGTACAAGATGAGTTTTTAACACAAATATCTACAAGAAGGTGTTTTGTGTATTTATGACATTAATGAACACCATGCACCCCTGTGACCACAGGCACTACAGAAGCCTGTACCTCACAGCTCTCTATGTCTACTCTTTCCAGCGCAGAATTCATCCAGGAACTTCCTCACACAAGAGTTTCACAATATGTAGACCTCCCACAAAAACCCGAATTCCTTTCCACAAGAACCCAAAGGAAAATTCCTGCCCCCTTCTCATAAGCCTTATAAAATTTCTATTAGTAGAAAACAGCAGATGCAAATTGGCTAACCGAATACTGTCAAACAAAACAGACAAGGGCTGTGGATTCCCTGCCTTTCCTCTCAAAGACATTGAAATGGCCCCTCTGTACTCTACTCAGCATTTCACAAATCTTGCCAAAAGTTAGTATCTCTGACAACACTACACTGTTGTCAAATTTTACTAAAATTAGCTGGTGAGATGAAAAATTACTGGAAGATGACAGCTACAAGAATAGGCAAACAGATTGACAGATAAACTGTCAACATGAGCTCCTTTCCTTAGGGAACCAACTTCATGATAAGCATCAATATGACAAGAGGATATTTGATATTTATATCTCTGAATCTAGCCTTTCATTGCGTATCACTTTCCCTACCAAGAAAACAAGGAAGACAGAAGAAATACCTTAACATTCTCCTCTGTTATGTACTTCTCAGCTTTGTCCACTGCATTCTGTCGGATCCGGTGAAGAAATGCCTGTAGAGATGAAAGAAGATTTATGTTCAAATAGTTTGATAATACTTTGATTTCAGTCTTTTATTTCCTCTAGGTTCCCATCAACACAGTGTGGTTGATCACCTTCAAGACTGAAAGAATTCATGAAAACATTTATGTAAACATTGATGAACTCCCCACCATAGATGTCCAGGCTGCACGCAGGCACTACCAAAGACATTTCCTACAATGCTGTTTGGCTTTGCCTGACAATAAATACCTTCCCTTTGTTGAAGATTTTAGCTTTAATTATCTGTTATTAGCAGTAGACTACAGCACGGTCCAGTCACTCTGAAGGTTTCCTGTGTCTCCAGGAGGCAGCTCTTCTGTCCCCAAGGCAGCGTGGAAGGGACAGACACACTGCTAGAGCTGCGGCACGTCAGAGCCATGAGCTGGGGCTAGGGACAAGTTCAACAGTCTCACTATATGGGGAAGGGAAATGGAAATCACCAGACAGTGTCTGCAACACACTGTCCTGTTCACTTTATTTCAGTTGGTTAAAAACAGATGAAACAATGCTGGAACTTTGTACTTAGGTCAGGTTTCCCCTTCCCTCAGCTCTGCACAACTCTGGCTTTAACAGCCAAATCTATAAAAAGCTCCAGGCCAGATACAAATGAACAGGGATCTGAATATCAACCTGAAAAGCATAACTCTGGCTACTGGAATCTGGGAGGACCTACTTGCATTTAGTCTGAACACACCCACAAACCTATTTGACTCAGTGGGAAGGGTTTAGAAAAGAATACTGCATGGGATTTCCATCTCAAGACTCCACTGGTTTAGCAATTATTGGCTAAAAGGCATCTCTGAACTGAGAGCAGAGAATTTTCCTATCCACAGGCATCAGCAGAGATGGAAATACCTTCAGGAGATACTGAAGGGTAGCCAGTGAGGTCAGAATCTGCTGCAATAAACTATATAACCTCTACAAAGAAGGGAAGAGGGCTTTCCTCTCTGTCTTGTCAGTGGCTTCTAACTTGCCTCCTACACAAAGGAGTGAGCCCTGCAGAGTGCAGTGAATAAGGTTGAAAGAACTTTTCTTACTCACCTGAGAGAGTGAGGGGAAGTCAGTCATGTGTTTGTTTAGGGCACAAAGCAGCTTTCTTACAGCTTGATAATAAAAAGCCTTTTAAAACCAAACTATTCCTGAGCAAGGTCCATGTCAGCTGGTGTATACTCAGCTTTTGTTTTTTCCCTTTTTCCTGCTGGGATCAGCAGCAGCTTACAACCTTTTCAGAAGCAATGCCACTGAACCAAACTTAGAGCTTATGGAATGCCTTCATCTCTGGTGTTCTGCTTGGCAGACAGTGAACATGTTCCTCTGACTGACTTTCAGCTCTAAAAGGAGAACATCTCTGTTCCAGCTTGGGCATGGCTCTCTGTCACTCATCAACCATTCACACTTTAAAAGACAAGCAACAGTAAAAAAGACATTAATTAATGAGGCACAGAGACCCTACATTTGTTTTTAGCCCTGGATTTTCAACCTGCTTTTGAACAAATTTCAGGGACCATAACCATATTGTTTCCTCTACTATTGCTAAATAGGAAGATCTTGTCTAGATTCCAGCTAGATATGGAGAACTCAGAGGAGTTTGTGGGGACTAAGAAGTGTGAAGAATAGATTCCTGCATCAAAGGAACAGGACACACGTGCCAGTGGCAGAAGAGTTATTATTTCGTAAGGACCAGCCAGTCCACCCTGCCAATAATCTGGCCAGGAACTGCAGTGCTCAGCAGCAGTCAGGGAACTGTCTGAGATGAAGTGTTCAGCATGATGACTGGTGACAGGAGGAATAGCTGCTGCACTCCAGTGTTGGGTGTGATAGCTGAGCATTAGTAACCAGGCATCTGAGTTGTACAAAGTGGCACATCATTCTAGAGTTACTCATTCGCTGACGGGAAGTCAGCAGTGATTTTCCTCGCTTTAATCACAAACCTGTTTGGAGACAACAAACCCAACTGAAATCATCAATTAACCTACACAATTAGCAGCTCCACTGGTGACTAATAGTTACCTGCACATCAATCCCAGTATGAAGGGTCTAATAATAGAGAGCTGTATACAGAAGTGCCAATCACATTAGCTGTTACAGGCCACTCAATAAAAAAGCAGAGACTGTGTTAATCTGTGATGTTTGTCTGAAAAGACCACTTGATGTGGAAAAGGAAAGGGAGGAAAAAACAGAGGAAAATCAAACAAAAGATTAAAAAAAGACATAGAAACAGAGAGAGGAAGAAGGATGAAAGACCTAGAAGGAAAACAGTCAACTTTGTAGATAGTCTCTCAAATCTCATACAGCCTGATTTGCTTTGATGTGAGTGGCCAGCAGTCTCTCCAGTAATAGTAAAACAAGATAGTTACAAGAGATTTTGGTTTTATAGATTTAATAGTCTAATTTCCGAAATTAAATTCTCCTCAAATTATCAAAATGTAATGGATGCCGAACAAGTTTTGTTCCCCATTTTTCCTACTTCCCCAATACCTACTGAGGTGTAAGAAGAACTTTTTGCAACACAGTCATTCAAACTAAAAGTATGAAAACCACAAGCTATTAAACAGCAGCTCATGGAGATAGTGTTGCATGCCCCATTCACATGGCAACACCACTTTCTTCCAAACCACTTCCTGCTTGGAAAAAGCAATCCTTTTCCCAGAGATGTTATTCTGACATTCAGGTCAGCATTCCCCAAACTTCTCCAGTGATTTTTTTGTGGTACTTGTTTTATTATGGTCTAAGCTCATCTCTACTAGCACTAGTCCTCTAATCACTTGGTGATACAGACTTCAAGTTCTATTATACAAGTAGTGTACAACTCTTTTGGGGGAAGGGAGTGCTATGATCTTTCATTAGACCTATTGATTTAGCTGGAAAATCAGAGTTATTTGGACCAGGACATGACAAAAGTGATGCCAAAAGAGAGAAGGTGGTGGTGGATGAATATTGAAAAACTTGCTGTGCCTATATCTTATTCATATTCCAAAATATTTTGTTATAAGACAGGAAGTAGTTGAAAGGGAAAAAGCTTGTCTGACCTCCTACAAAGTTTCTGAGACAAATTCTCTCTGGTTGCTCCAACCTCTTCATACTCCACACAACTCATACATAAATTCAAGGGGTCTGCTCCTTGGCATTTTTCATAGGGACCCCACAGTATAATTCTTTTCACCTGCAAGACCTTCAGTCTCTGTAGAAACTAGCCTCCAAGGATATGTGGAAGCATGGGGGGTTGGCTTCCTTAGGAGATCTTGGAAGTACCACCTGGGGACTCTGAAAATCATTCCTAGGACACTGTAGGATGATCACAATCACCCCTCCATTGCAATCAAGAGCAGAAATCTCTACTGTGGCATGCTGTTGGTTTCCTCCTCTCTGAAACTATCAGGGATTACTGAAACAACAACCAACTGCATATCACCGAGACTGCTGAAGAGCTGAAACCGACCAATGGGCAACAAAAGTAGGCTCTGCTTCCTTTCATCTTCTTGTACCCTGGTCAGGACTTCTAAGAATGACGATTTCACAGATTTCACGAGGGGCAGAGATAGGAAGTCAGCTGACAGCACATCATCTCCTCCTTTATCCCCCAGCTGCACTGCTGCCACTGCCAGTGCTCCACCGTGCTCACACTGGGCTGGGTCTGAGCTGTCTGCATGGGCAGCAGAGGAGGAGAGAAGTACTGAACGAGCCCATGGATTCAGAACAAGAACAGGTCATGGCACAAGGCAGGGAAAAAATGGGAAACCAGGCTGATCAGTTTTCATTCTCCTGATAAAGATTTTAAAGGTCTCATCTTCCATTTTAATGTGCTCAGAATTAGGAAAACAGTCTAGAGAGGACTTGTTTTGGTTTAAAATTTTGCTGTTGTAACATAATGTTTATTCGTGCACTGTGACTTGTTGTCCTAGAGATCTGCTATTCCCAAACTCAGCAGGCCACAGCTGATGCTCTTCATGTCATGCATAAGCACAACTTATAGTTTGTCTTACAGGCTTAAAAAGCCTTGCAGGATTCACGCAAATCTATGGCAAATTAGAATGAGCAGAGTGAAATGTTTCCTTTCTGCTTCACATCATGTTGGACAAGTTCCTTCCAATGCAGATTAACAGAAACACATTACAGATCTAGAATGAAATTTAAGTATAAAAATTCATTTCATTAAATAAGTACTTTTTGATGGCCCCTTTTGTTTGAAAGTGTTCTGCTCTTCTATTAATGCTCCTCACAACCCACTGTTTCAATGAAATCTCGTTGTTTTGAGTGTCTCTGCAGCACCTCTAAACCACAAAAGCACAGAGTATGTTTTAAGGAAAGAATTTGTTAATTAGTTGTTGTCACATGAAAAAGTTGCACACATGAAACACATGAAGCAACTGGGACTTCTCTCAAATGCTTTTCATATGGGCCTTGTTGACCTCAGCTTGTAGCCTTAATTAGGGAAAATCAGTATTTTCCATCTTCTATGTAGCAGAAGTAACACAAGGCAACACTAGGGACAAGGCAGTGACAGTTTGCTCATCCCCCTTCACAAAATTCATGTTTAAGGCACATACTTCCTCAAACATTCAGAAATAGCAAGAGACTTCTTACTGAACAGCAAGGAAGGCAAAGTGTGCCTACCCCTGAGGGAAATGAAAAGGAGAACAGAAACAGCGGTGAGGCAACTGGTCCCAGCTGCTGGAGAAGCAACAACTTAAAGCAAAATCCCGTAAAACCTGTTTTCTGAACACCTGACTGCAATGTCACATTGCACTTGAGAGACAAGTGAGACTATTTCATTAAACTCATCAGTGATCAGGACTGATTCAGAACAAGCGTCCAGGGATCTAAATGAGCCTGGAATTTTCAGGGTTAATATTAATAAATTGTTTTACACTTGTGCCATCAGCTGCTTAAAGCTTCTTGCAAGTGCCGGTATCTTGTTTCCAAGAAAATGTGTTCACAGTGACAAATTAAGAGGTGACATGAACAATAAACT